CTTTCCTAGCTGATGGTTTAGGTTCAAGAGATGTCTCTAGTTCAGTATCAGCAGGATTCTTCCCTAGCTGATGGTTTAGGTTCAAGAGATGTCTCTAGTTCAGTATCAGCAGGATTCTCTGTAATTTCAGAAGTTTCAATCTCGACATTTATAGAGTTCTCAACTGTAGATGCAGCTTGGTTACTTAATAGAGAAGCCATATTCATCACTGCACGTTTACTCTTTCATATATATTCTTGAGGCATATTAACTGATTTCCAGCCATAGAAACTGATTAATTGTTGAGCTCCATCGTCTGCAGCAGCAGTAGCTGATCACCTTCTCAATGATTGGAAAGTATAATCTGCATGGTTTGGTTTACCAAGATTTCTAGCAACCTCATGTAGAACCTCAGCTATCATGTTTTTTCCAAGAGGCTGGATCACAAAACTTGATCCTCTTCCTGGTCAGAATTGACATTTTTAGCTATTTTGCAAAAAAAAATTAATCAATTAGCAAAAATTGAAAGCCATAATACTTGGGCTAAAATTGTTCACTGTTTATTTGATGTCAAAACTTTCCTTTCCAAACATCACGGCCAGTGAATCTATTCAAATCCAGTTCAATTTGTTCCACATAGGTTTGTACAATAGCCGCCCAGTCAATTTCTGAACTTGAGTTAGGTTTAGGTACTAAAAATCTAAAAAATTTAAATTATGAATTTTAAACAACAATGTTAATTATATTGAATATAACCTGGAACTTTGTTGGTCCGATCTTTGTTTGGCTCATTCATGAACCACATAAACTCCTTCTTGTCCAATACTGATTTTTTTTCCAGAACCAAGCTCATGACCTCCGTGTTCTCCGAAAAAGGCAATAATAACCAAGGCTTTCCGCACACCCAATATGGACCTGAGAGAGTGAGTGTCATTCCTGACAAATTCTCCAATTTAATCTTTGGTAAAAATGTGGGCCTTATTTTTCACATCTACATCAAATGCTTTGATGATTGATTGAAGTCTAGGATACTGCTGGAGAGATTTACTATATTTCCTCATTACAAACAGAATTCACCATGCTGTAAGTAGTCCACAATGTTAACGTGGAAAAACTCTTCTTCAGATGGCATTCTTGTATCAAACTCCAGTGAACAGGGAAAAAATCTCTAAACTTTTTCTAAGCGTTCTCGTGGTTTCATTTTGATAATTTCTAAAGCCTTTAAGTCTCAAAAAATATTCATTTTTGAAGAACCATTATGAACACGTTATAGTATTAGAGACTTCTGAATTTGCAAATTTTAATAATTAAGTTGCGTATTTTTTGGAAAAGATTTTTTGAGTTTAATTGAAAGTTTCAGGATAAATGAGAATGTAATAATAAGAAAAAAAATAAAATATTTTGGCCATGCTTTTATTTTTCTTGACATTTTAGTCTCAAAAAATCTCAAAAATAAAAAATCCTGGTCGAAATTTATTATTTCCGCCCCCCTTATGTATATAAATAGATATTATTCAAGTTTTAGAGAATTTATATCCCGCATTTTTACTCACAATTTCATGATCTTGAATGTAAGAAGTTTCTTACATGTTCCCGAGTCAAATAAGTAACATTTTATACCAGCAAAGCAGGCTTCCTTTTCATTTCGCGGATTTTAACAAAAAAAATCGCACACTTTTCAGAAACTTGAATTAAATAAATTTATATATCCACCTGTCTTGTGTAATCATTTGTGAAATAATGTTTTTTTTTGTGATTTTTATTTTTTTGTTTGTTCTACGTTCATGTTACTACGTTCATGATTAAAAATCTTGAATTTAAACCTTAAACAAACGAAAAAAAGTGAAAATCCCGGCCAAAAAACATTTTGTCTCGCATGACAACACAAGACAGCTGCATAAATTATACATATGGTTTACTTGGATTCGGAATACTAAACATTATTAATCCAAATACCATAAATTAGTGCTCCTTTGTTTCTCAGTGTGTCTTTCTGATTTATTGATTTATTATTGTTTGATTGATTGATTGACACATTGATTTATTTATGGATTCATGGATTAATGGAGTCATGGATTCATGGATTTATGGATTTATGGATTTATGGATTCATGGATTCATTGATTCATGAAATCATTGATTCATGGATTCATGGATTCATGGATTCATGGATTCATGGATTTATGGATTCATGGATTCATGAATTGGTTAATTCATTAATAGATTGATAAATTACAGGTATAAGAAGAAGGAAGATGACCCCAACCTGACGTGGAACATTCTAGTGTTAACCCCATCTAGGTACTAAAAAAGGTGTTTGACTGGGTGTGTCGGTGTTTTTTGTTTTTTTTTTTGTTTTTTTTTTGTAGAACTTCACGTTTTATGGGAAAAAACTATTATGATACGTCACATTTTTCCTTTTGTTACTTAAAAGATTCGAAAAGCCTTATTTTCTAAGAAATACCGAACAGTTTTACATCTGAGGCCTCAGTTTAAATGCTATAGCATGAAGTCTTAATTAAGTCTCACCTATCACGCTTAAATTTGCACCCAACTCGATGAATTCTGTCAAAGTTGAGGCTGAGTTTTGAATTATACGCGATTCTAATCAACTTAGATCCACAGCTAAAGGGTTGAGCCTTATAGGCTTATATATTAGACTTGAGACATTTTTTTCTGATCTACGACCTCTAATTAGAAAATGTTGTCTATTCAAAAATATTGAAAATGTTGTCTATTCAAAAATATTGTAAATGTTGTCTATTCAAAAATATTGAAAATGTTTGTTATGTTTAGACTAGATGGTTTGTTCAAACCGGAAAAGACGAGAAAAAAAGTAGGAGACAAGGTTGATGAAGGAAAGATAAAGGAGGAAAAGGAGGAAAAGGATAAAAAGGAGAAAAAGGAGGAAATGGACGAGAACAACATGGAGAAAAAGGAGGAAAGAAACGAGAAAGAAGATGAAAAGGATAAGAAAGAGAATTTAAGATTTCTGGTCCTTGATGATTTTGAAAGATTATTTGAGATGGGTGCAGTACTTAATGTAAGGTAAAAATTAAATCTCTAGAGTTATGCGAGTAGAGCTGAAAACTGGATATTAATAACAAGTGGAGAACAAGCATTATTTAATCACGAGATTAAGAAAAAGAGTGGATCAAGCATTAATCCTGATATCCACCATTCAAAAGTTTCCAGCTCTGGTCCTATTTTATTCTTCTCTCATTGGAGGGGGAAACTTTTGTAATTTAAATCTATGCCTCCAGCGCTTAGACGTTGAAGCTCGACATTGTGACCTTAAATAGACTGGAGTAATTTCTAGTGACCATCCATGCAAATATGGCAATGCCCAATTTTCCCTTGAAACCTTAATGTGATCAATTATGAATTTAGATATACACGATTTTCTTAATTTAAACTGTTAATTTTCATTCGTGGCTTCTCTGCAAAAGTGAGGTTCGCATCTCTTGCTTAATAGAGGCAATGGAGACACGAACAGAATTAAACACTTGTATTCGACAATTTTAATCCGAATAAGGTTTTAAGGGTGTTGTTGTAATTTGGGCGTTGCTACCTTTGCATGGAGGGTCACTTGAATTTAAAAGCTTACAGCCTCTTTGTATATACAGACACTGAATATGTTATCAGTGGAAGGAATGTTCTCAGTGCTTAGGATCCGGATCCGTTGGATCCGCAACATTTTGGCTTCCTGGATCCCCAAAAATATACGGTTCCGGATCAAGGGGCAAAATATCAACCAAAAACTGCAAAAAAATATTTATTTTCAAAACCCAAATCTGAACTAATGAAAAACGAGAGATCATAAAAATTTCCTGATTTCTGAATGGTTTTAGCATAAACATTAGCAAAAAAAATAAGACAAATTTGAAAATTCTACTTCGTTAAAAAATAAGTAAATTTTAAAGAAATAACCTGCATCCGGATCAGGATCCATTTTTTTCCAGTGCGGATCCAGGATCCGGATTTGCATCAAAATTAAAAGGGTTTCAAGCACTGAATGGTCTACATTCCACGCTTCAAGAAATTGAACCTATAATTTATAAATCACTAAAATTCCATCTCATAAAATTCTTTGAAATCCGCGAATAAAACGTAAAAAATTTCGCAATAATCTTAAACCCTTTGTTGAGAACAGAGCCAACATGAGTTAGATACATTCCTGCTTAAACATATCAACTTGGTATTCTGAGGATGGAAATTTTGTGTGAAGAATCGTTAATCTTAAACTCTTAATCTTAATCCTAGTTACCCGATTCTGACTTCTGTTCATATTCTTAGGACGGTGATAGAAAAGCTGAATCCTGGTTTTAACACATTAATCTTTTCTGCGTACAATGATATGAATATTCGAAAGGTAATAATTATATAAATTTGGCTTGTTTGTCTGTTTGTCTGTTTGTTTGTATCCAATAAACGTCAAAACGGCTGAACCGATCGGGCCCAAATTTTTTGTGGGTCATCACGTGACCACAGGGAAGGTTTATGAATGGTAAAAATTTAAAAAAATGTGTTTTAAAGGTTTTTAATATTTTAAAAAATTTTAATTCTTGAAAATCCGCGAATTTTTTTTTTTTTTAAATCCGCAAAATTTTTTTGAACACGAGCTACCTGTACAACGCGCAGAGAAGCGAAGGTAGAGAGGAACAGAAGGAGACAGAGAAGGAAAAGAACAGCGAGAGAGACCCACAATATTCTGAAACAAAACTAGGAAAAAAGGAAAAGGACAGTGGGCAGGGTGACCAGATAGGACAGTCAAAACTGCACACAAACAGGTTGCCACAATAAATGGTTGGTACAATAATAGTAAAAGTACGAGTCACAGTAAAGTAAACAACACAAGGTAGATAAAGTACTAGTGACCCGTGAAACGGTAAACCAGGTAAATAGCTAGTAACCGTAAACTGCAAACCGTAGGTAACCCATAAAGGAAATAGAAAGGAAGCCAGAAGGGGGGGAAGGAGGGTTTAAAAGATGTAGTACGTGAGAGGTAGAGATAAAGACTGAGCCCAGATAGGAAGAAACCGGGGGTAGGGGGAGGGTCCGCAAAACTCCCCCCAACCATAGTCCACGTCAGCAGTACAGTACAGGTAGAGAGAGAGAGAAAGCTAAGCACAGCGCTAGTACAGAAAGTCGTCGTCCTCACTCAGTTTAACCCCCGAATCCAGGGATCAGTGCCTAAACAATCATGAACACGAGCTACCTGTACAACGCGCAGAGAAGCGAAGGTAGAGAGGAACAGAAGGAGACAGAGAAGGAAAAGAACAGCGAGAGAGACCCACAATATTCTGAAACAAAACTAGGAAAAAAGGAAAAGGACAGTGGGCAGGGTGACCAGATAGGACAGTCAAAACTGCACACAAACAGGTTGCTACAATAAATGGTTGGTACAGTAATAGTAAAAGTACGAGTCACAGTAAAGTAAACAACACAAGGTAGATAAAGTACTAGTGACCCGTGAAACGGTAAACCAGGTAAATAGCTAGTAACCGTAAACCGCATCAGCAAAGCAGAGTCCAACCGCGCAGCAACCTAACGTCCTAAGTCCCTACCTAGCAGTTGTAGCCCAGCACGGAGGTCTTGAGGGAGAGGTCACGGAGGATACGGTCGCCGAGGTAATCGTCAGGGGTAGGGTCTGCGATCCAGCGGAGTAAGGAGCCCGGTAAGGTGGCCATGTCAGCTGGGAGTGAAATGTTCGCCGTGGAAGCTAGAGACCAGAATCGGTTGAAATCGGCCTTCGACAAGGCATCAGCCATGGAGGCTAGAGGACTGGAGCAACGAGTAATTTTGCAGATTTCGACAGAACAACAAAGACCAGTAGCCACAGTAGAAATAGCTCCGACTAGAGTGGTAGAGAGGTGACAGGAGGTGCTGTAACCCTTGCGCCAGATAAAGACGGAACCGGCGTTATCGACCCAGATTCGGATATAGTTATTCTTGCACCAGGGGTAACCGCCAGCTAGGACAGCAAGAGGTCCAACAAGTTCTAAGGCAGACATAGACCTGCTGAGGGAGCGTCCACTAGGAGCAGGGCGGCCGAGGTTAATAGTCCTAGACCATGGTAAGTAGGTCCACCAACCGGGGGTTACGGCACCTGCACCCAAGCCGGTAGAGGACATGGAGCCGCCAGCAGAGTCGGTGTAGACGTCAACAGCCCAGCTGGGTAGCTTGTAGAAAGGATTTGGAAGACGGCCTCGACCAGAGCATAGCCTGATCATAGAGAACCAGAAATGAGCTTGGCGTTTGAATCCACTAGAGAAAATGACTGGGAAAGTCCTGAAGTTTGATTTGTTGTTGGCCAGGAGCAGGTGGTGCATGTTGAACTTTCCATTAGGGATTAAAGGTCTAATATGGATAAGTTTGCCGACTAACGACCAGACTCTTTCCTGGGGTAGTGAGTCGACCGTCAGAAACTCTTTAAGATCATGCAGTAAGCGAGACAGTTTCTCATGATTCAGAGACCAAGTCCAAGAATTTGTATCATAAAAAATTCCAAGCACAAGCCCGGAACAGCTTGGGCCGAAGGATTTTTCCGGATCTTCTCTGGGTGCTAACTTTATGCCGAGTTTTCCAGCGATTTGATAGAAACCAGAGTCAAATCGGGCTAGTTGACCGGAACCGGCGGGAGCTGCAGCACAGCAGTCGTCTAGGTGTTGACAGATCAATTTGGTAGGGAAATTAGACTTGTGTGCAACAATGTGGACGACAACTTTTGCCAATCTATCAAAAATTCCTGCGCTGCTGGCGCCGCCGAAGATAAGGCATAGTTCCTTGAAACCCATGCCCAGCCAAGTAAACCACTGTAAGTTGGTATCCTCAAGGGACACTGCTATATGTTTATAAGCATCTGACCAGTCGATCTTGCACATTTCGGCGTTTCTTCCAGCCAGGTGTAGAGCTTTAAGCCATTTATTTGTTGAAGACATAATGGTTGGAAAGTTCATAGGATTTATTCCTTCGTTCACAGCTTGACCCAAAGGGGCACTCAGGTTGAGGATGATGCGGACTGCTCCATTGGGTTTAGGTTTCGTCATAATACCGCTGATCTTTGCTGTCTGTGGGATTTGGTCCAGAGGTATAGGGCCGTAGGCGAAGCCTTTATGTATCCAGTCTGCAATGGCGTCTGTAACGTGTGGGCCGAATTCGAAAGCACTAGGTGCGTTCGTAGAAACTGAAGGTAGTCTGGAGGCACCGAAGCATCCGATATTAGCTCCGGTGTGTAGGTCTTTGCAGATGGTTTCGAGCAAGATCACGTCGCGAAAATTGGACTCCAGAGCCAAGGATTTTAAAATATGATGATTAACCATGGATTTTGCCGGCTGTGAGTAGTTCTTAGGAAATTGTTTCCAAAAATCACTATCAGGGTTTGATTTATAAGAGTGCAGCTGTGGGATATTATATTTAGGTTTGAAAACTTTTGGTGGTGGTAGGTCAGGGATGGGTGTGGCTAGTATCCTAGTTGTGAGCTGTTTGAGTGATACCAGTCGTCGTGACACTACCCAGCTGATATCTAGTAGAAATAACCGTTAATATGTTTAAAGGAACTTTAATGGTTGTTGGATTTCTCACTTATAGGTTGTATATAATTTGCAGTAATCAGTAATAATAAACGTGATCGTCGTTATTAAGAGTTATTATTGTAGAGATTAACTTTTTAGGTTAGTTGTAATGCGCTTTAGAGATGAAATGCCGCGCGGACTTTAATTGGATGTCGTCTTATTATATGATAAGCCAAAGAAATGAACTAATTTTAAAGTTAATATCCCAAATAATAACTGATAATTTTGATCAATGCCCTTTGTAGACTGTATATTAAAGCAATATATGAATCCTCAGTAATGGATGGGTAATTAACTTATTGAAAACTGCTGTAAATGTAGATAGTTGAGAGTAATAAACGAGAAATTGGAGGATTATCATCGTGTGTACGTAGCACTAGCTATACTGAACTAAACTAATTTTAAAGTTAATTTCCCGAAAAATAACTGATAATTTGACCAATGTCCTTTGTAGACTGTGTATTAAAGCAATATATGAATCCTCAGTAACGGATGGATAAGTAACTTATTGATAAACTGCTGTAAATGTAGATAGTTGAGAGTAATAAACGAGAAATTGGAGGATTATCATCGTGTGTACGTAGCACTTGTTGTACTGAAGATCCGACTCCCGAATTCTTTCTTATTCAGCTTAATTGTTTGGATTTAAGAGTATGCTTCGGTATCAGGAGTATTATTTAGTTCGCTATTATATTACAAGAGGGTTCTATATGTAATTTTTGAAGGTTAAAAATAGAAATAAGCAAAGTTTTAATTTAATGTTCAAATTATCTAATTGTATAGATTTGTCTCTATAATCGAAACTAATTACATTTGTCGAGAAGACTAATTCTGATTTCAGACCAAATTAAATATTCACAGAGCTGATTGACAAATTTCCGAATCTAGTATAAATTTATCCCAGGGGTTTTTAAGAAGGAGTAAATTATTTGAAATTGGTTTAATTGTCGGCGGAGCTTACTCTAATTCTCTCTTAATCTAAATGTTTTTAATTTCGCCAGATTAATTCTACATGTAATTTATTGATATAAATATCCAGGAATGATTTCAATCCTGCTAAAATTGCATTAGTTCTCTTGACTTATTACCAGTAATAAGTAACAACATAGTCTTTAATAGCAAATTGGGAAATAATTTAGAATAATCATTTATTTAATTGTATAAAATTAGCATGAGCTAAAGCACAAATATGATTAATATAACTGAGTGAGATAATTGTATAAAATTAGCATGGGCTAAAGCACTTAATATGATTAATATAAATGAATGAAATTAGCTTAAATAGATGGGTTAATGAGCCAAGAGGTATAAAAGAGGTTATTATAATTGAGTAAACGATGTATAAATAGATAAGCAAATAAGGCTTGTTTCCACGACCCGGAGATAGTGTAGCCAACCAGTGAAGATCCGTATTAGCGATGATTGTTCCGGGAGTGTTTGTCGAAGCAGTGAGTGTTAGCTTTGTCCAGGAATTTGTTGCAAACATGCGCGAGGTCTCGGTTTTTGGAATCTTTGCAACCTGCTGGTGAACGAGTGTTCTTGCATGAGCCATTATTATAAGCAAAACAGATGGGAATACCGTTGTGAAGTACTACTTTGGATCTGTTGGAGAATGCGGAGCCAGAGCTGTTGGATGAACTAGGTGTGACGCTGGAGCTGTAGTTCGGCCTAGTTTGTTGGAATTTTACCTTCTGTTGGTCGTTGTTGAACATTCTACCCGCTGGTACAGAGTTGTTGAGTCCTGCAGAGGTTAGTACTGACTTGATACAGTCCTCTTGTTCCGCGAAGCTCATGATTAGTTCTTTCCTGCTAGCTCTGGCTGCGTTTTCACGTAGAACAGCATTAAAGAAAGTTGAGACCAGATTGACTCTCTCTGATAATGAATGAGCTGCAGAGAAAAAATTGTACTTATTTATGATCCTCATGAGTATTATTCCTGTAGGGTCGTAGTTTATCTAGTCTTGCTAGGGAGATCAGGTGATCAAGGTTCATTCTGTTGAAGGAATCTTTGTGTTGTAAAGCTGCTGGTCGTTTTTCTAAGGGCCAGATTGTTCTCATCATGGACCAGTTGGAGTTGTCATCAGAGTCATCAGAACTGGAAGAGTTAGAGCTAGAGCTAGAGCTACTAGAGGAAGATGAAGCTTTCTTCTTCTTACTCTTCTTTTTCTTATCCTTCTTCTTTCGTTTCTTTTGGAGGTTCGAGGTCGCTCTAGGATGGAGGATTGTCTCTGGTTCTCCAGAATCAGAATCTGATAAAATAGGGGTTAGTGGTAAGTAGATAATTATTGGCTAGATCGAATTAATAATAAAGAATCTCGATGTAATATGTAAGTGAAGTACCTAAATCTGTAGGGATCTCTGTTGTAACTAGTCTGGTTGTACTAAATCCCTCAGGGTTAGATGGTAGAACCTCTGATCGTGATAGATCTCTGGTAGTTCGATCTAATAGTAGTAAATTAACAGTTAGTAGTTACTCGTGTTAATTGAAATTAGTTAAGGTTAAATTTTTTTGGAGAACATTAATTTTAAAGTGTTATCTTTTCATCAACAGAATATTTCCTATTGTATGTAAGTATAGTAATAGTCAAAATTATCAAATAAGTCTATTTAAATAAATAGATATAGAAAAATTTTATAAGCTACCTATTCTGGTGTGGGTAGCTCTTGCGCCGGTAGAGGTTTGAACAGGGGGAGCAAATCTGGTTCTTGTAAAAGAAGGATCTCCGCGGTTTTGATCTGATAAAGATTAGAGAATTAAGGTATTTAGTGAGACAAGTATGATTGAGTTTTATATATGTAGTTAGGTGAGTGTGAGTTATAAGAATATAAATATAATATTGCAATTATCTCAGCCAATTAAGGGTTCGATAAAGTTTTCACATCTATAATTAAATGTATTTTAAATGTTGATAAATAAATACCGGTAAGATTGAAGGTTGCAGATGTAGTTTGTCCAGCTTGATTGCTTCTGTTAGAATTGGAGGTCTGAGATCTAGTTTGAGCATCAGTTGGGTTGTGTGGACCAAGAGCTGTAGAAAAGGTTCCATTTGGGGGTCCTGTTATAGGGTTCTGGTAATCGGAGCCGTCTGGGTTCCTAATTGTAGAGTTTCTGTTAAATTGTTCAAGTTCTGAGTGAACTAGAGCTAGGGTGCTGATGGGGTTAATTCCAGTTGTAGATAAATCATCAGAGCTTTCTCCGTAGTAAGACGACCAGGTCTTCTTAGTTAGGGAGTGGTTGGCTAGAACGGCGAGGGAGGTTGTTAGTTCTTGGTCGGTTGTGATAGAAGTAAAAGAGTTTGGAGTAAAAAGTCCTGTGGGTCCGTATTTCATGGATCCTGCTAATGCTTGAGGTTTGTATGCTGAAAAAAGTTAAAGTATGAGTTGATGAAGAAGGTGGTTTAACCTTTATAGTCTTATTGTGATTAAGATGGAATTCTAAAAGGTGAATATCTTGGTCTAAGAAAAAGATAATCCTGCTGGTGGTTAAGTAGAATAGTTCTTTAAGGGGTATAAAGTAAGTAGTCCTCTTGGGATTTAGTGTAATAATCTCATTTGTTTTTAGTGGGATAATCCTTTTAAGTTTACAGAACTCAAATATACTTAGAAATAGGTATTATAGTTTTTTGAAATTAGACCAATAATCTTTTTGGGATTTAAAGAAGATTCCTCTTGGAGTTTTAAGTCTAGAACCTCTTGGGTAATAAGAAATTAGAATAAGTATTTTAGTCTACATGGAAATCATGAATAATCCTCTTGAGATTTATAGAATAATATTCTTGGGATTTCTAAAGTAGAGATCTTGGGATTTACAAACAATCCTCTTGGGATTCATAAATTAGCCTCTTGGGATTCATAAATAATCTTCTTGGGATTCATAAGTTAGTCCTCTTGGGATCTATAAAATAATCCTCTTGGGATTTATAAAATAATCCTCTTGGGAATTAAAGATAATCCTCTTGGGATTTAAAGATAATCCTCTTGGGATTTAATAACAAATAATCCTCTTGGGATTTAATAATAAATAATCCTCTTGGGAAATTAGTAGAGTGTCTCTTGGGAAGTGAAAAGGAAACTTTTGGGATTTTTTAGAGACAAGTTAATAAGGGGGTAATTGAAAAGGAGTTTCTTGTGAACAGAAAGGCTAACATTATAAATAATAAAGTTAAGAAAACTATAGAGATAAGACTGTTGGTAAATTGAAGTTTTGTAAAGGAAAGTGGTAGGATAAAGTAATTCTCGTAGTAAAATGATAGTGGTTGAATTAATGGTTAAAGAAGAAATAAATAATTATCCATAGAAGGTAAGAGAAAGTAAAATAGGGGAAGTGAATAATTAAGTGGTAGTCTTAAAGAGTTAATATTGTAAATAATTATAATTAACTAGAATAGTAGGTAAATTGGATAAAAGCAGTTAACGTGGAAGTAAATATAGTAAATAAATATAGGGATTATAAGTGAAGTGGGAATAGTACAAATTAGTCTAATGTTAGATGAAGGGAAAAAGTTAGGTAACGTGGTTACATACCAGTGCTGGGTAGGTCAGGAGCGTCTGGTGAGCTGAGTTGCGGCCAAAGAAGAGCTGGTAGTTTAGAGCGGCAAGAGAAGGAACCCGAGGTACAGAGATCTGCAAGCTTCTTTTTGTAGCCTGTAAGAGAGCTGGAGTCTGGGAGTACCGCTGATCTGAGGATACTGCTCATGGCTGATCTAAGGCAAAGACCCGTAGGTAGCAGGGAGTCCGGAGTCCATTCTGTAAAGGGGAAAATTGCCGGAACTAGTGGGAAACCCCAGAATCTTCTTAAGGGGGAGACTGGACCTGCTGGAGCTAAGGGAAACTCGTAATCACAGAGTTTTATGCCTGGAAACCGGTGGTCTGAGTAGAGGGGGAAAGAAGCTAACGAGTCTTCGGAGGCTGGGTAGAGAAGGATTAAAATCCTGGCGTAGGAGTCGGAGGTAGGGTAGACGAAGGCTCTGAGGCAGAAGTCTGAAAGTTCTGCAGAAGAGAGATCCGAAGGTTGAATTATGGAGTTGTTTCTGGAGAAGTGGAAGGAGAAAGCTGAAGAAGGGACATAGTTAGAGACCATGGTGCCGTCGGGGAAGGAGAAAACGGAAAGGTCAGGGATACTGATGGTGAGGGAGGTTGGAGAGTTGCAGATCCAGAAGTGGTTGGCGTTGATGGTTTTCGTGTTAAAGAGTATTCCTAGTAGTACTAGGTTGCCTGAGGCTACATTTTGATTGTCTGCGCTGAGGGTGAGGCAAACTAATCCGATGGCGCCTTGGTTCCAGTTTAAGTTGGAAAGTAGGGAGTCGTTGATTGACTCGAGGGAGGTGATAGAGATGGACTCGAGTTCCTCTAGGGATAGATCGGAGGGGTTTGAGAATCCTGTTGAGCTTTCTATGTTGGTTTCTTTTTTCCTTCGACTCATGACTGAAAGTAAAATAGGGTTAAGAAATGTAGGTGTAAATTAATTGAAATCAAAGTAGTTATATTGTGGTAATTAATTTGGAGTTAAGTTGAGTTAATGTGAATTAAAATAAATAAACATAAGAAGGAGTAAATACTAAGATGAACAAATAAATAAAGAGATAAATAGATGAAGAGTGATTAGATAATAGTTGAGAAAAGAATAAATAAATAAATAGATAAAATTAATAAATAGTAATGTAAATAAATAATAAATAGATAAATAACTGAATCAGTAAATAAATAATAATAATTATGTTGACGAATAACGTTAAGTGAATAATGAAAATAAGGGTAAGTGATTAAATAAGTAATAATTAAAATTAAATGGAGAAAGTTAATAATAATTGCGTAATGTAAGGATAAATGTGTAAGAAGTTAATTGGTAAAAAGTGGTAAAAACTGTTACTCTCCTTATAATTTTTAAAAGATGTAGTACGCTAGAGGTGGAGATAAAGACTGAACCTAGTCAGGAAGAAAGGAACCGGGAGCAGAGGGGAGGGCCCGCGTAAACTCCCCCCAACCGCAAATCCACGTCAGCAGTACAGTACAGGTAGAGAGAGAGAGAAAGCTAAGCTCAGCGCTAGTACAGAAAGTCGTCGTCCTCACTCAGTTTAACCCCTGGATCCAGGGATCAGCGCCTAAACAATCAAAAGATTGAGAATTTTTTCTAGGATATTTGCGGATTGTCTCCTAAAGTTTATGAATTTTATCATATTTCATTCAGAGAAAAATTTCATAATTTCAGGAGTTTGTCTTTCAGGAGTTTGTCTTGTCAGGAGTTTGTCTTTCCGGAGTTTGTCTTTCCGGAGTTTGTCTTTCAGGAGTTTGTCATGGCACCCTTAAAAATCTGCTCCCAGCTTATAAAAATTGGCTAAAATGTATTTCTGCAGTTTTTCACAGATTAAGATAACTGCAAGTTAAGAAGGCTCTTTATATTTGGCTCACATGTTAAAGATTAGTTCTATATCATACTGAATTCAAATTGAATTTTAAAAATTAATCAAAAAATGAAATTTTAAGATATTGTTTATGCTAATGAAGATTTTCAGGTCCATTTTACTAATTTTCAGGTATATTAATGTACAGAGGATTCAGTTTAGACCAGTTTATGAACCAGTGTTATGGGAACTGTGAGGAGAGTTTTCATTATTTTTAACTAACAGATAGTTGTATTGTAAAATTTGCTGCAGATGGTCAGTGGTACATTACACCTCTCCTTAACAATATTATCGAATCCAGAGATCATGGTTGAGTTTATGATTATTGGTTAATTGATAGAAAAGGATTTTGTCTTCAGTAACCGATATTTGAATTGACCACTGCCAGTCCTCTCAAATAAATTAATCTACATACAGGATTAGATTGTGAAGATTGTAGTTTAAATAAAAAAATAATGTAGGAGTAGTATTTAATCATCCTTGATTTTCCTGTCCTTTTTTGTTATTTTTAAGAACTGCTTTTCACTGATAATTTTTGTTTACCTGTATTGTACACAGTGCCTAGGATCCATTTAATATTGTTTTTCTGGATTTTTTTTAACAATTTCAAATTTTTTGTCTTATTTATTTTTGCTTATTTTTAACTTAAAACTTGATGAACCATTCAGAAATCAGGAAACTTTAATAATCTCTCTTTTTTAATAGTTAAGATTTAGGTTTTGAGAGTAAACAATTTTTTTGCAGTTTTTGGTTGATATTTTGTCCCTTGGATGTGATACCGCATATTTTTGTGGTTCCGTATCTGGATCCAGGAAGCCAATATCTTGCGAATCTAATAGATCCGGATTCCCGGGATATGAATCCTAAGCACTGATTGTACATTTCAACAATTATGTTCCTTAAAAATTTGCCAAAGATAAATGTTTTTTTTTTACGGTTTTTGTTCTGTAGAACAGTGTACAGAAATTAGTCAGAAAATCGCAGCTTTTATTTGTGGCTAAGGTAAACTTTCTTTTGTGAACACAGGGGGTCTTAAAATACTATATGAACAACCCAATTCAAATGTCAGTTACTGTCCTTTATTTTTGGTTCTTTTAGTCTTTCATTTTTAGTTCTATATATTTGATTGAATTTAATGTTCTAGCTCATAACAACGAAATATAAAGGATTTAAGATAAAAATGTTGTTTCGTAGTAGATAAGCTATATATTATTTACTCACTGAGCACATTAAAAAAAAATTGTTCCATTTTTAAGTTACAAATGAAAATAAGTACTGATCTTGCAGACTAGTGTTGGAGGAGGCACCCTTTTACTAGCTGATTATCATAGAATTATCTTTGTAATAAGTTAGGTTAACCCTTATAATAATGAAGTATGGGGAATATAGGACGAAGGGAAAGGAAGGCAGATGCCAGTACATTATGGATGTCCTGATTTAAGGTATATTCTTTTAACAATCGTTAAGATGTTTTGATTCCATTTAGAAACAACCATTTCTGTGTTGTTTGTCTATAATTCATACATTACATCTTTATGCATTGATGAAGACTCTGAAAGTTTTGTTTTCCTGCACAGCACACATTAAAAGTTTAATTTTTTCAATTGTTTATATTTTCTTGTTCAATATCCCCCTAGAAGACAATTTGTTTATCTGTTGTCCATAACATTTTTTAAATTTTTCTTCAATGATTTTAAAACCAGTTTATTCTAATTAGGTTTTTTTTGATCATCCAAAATATTTCCTTTTGAAATTTAGTTTTTTTTTTTTACAAAATTCAAGAAGAAACTTTTTCAAGATGAACTATCTTCAAAATTTCTTTTCAACCCAAATTCAAATGTTTAATTCTTCAGTTTTGTGACAATTTCTTCACCCCTGGCAACACAAATGCCACAAGGTATTGACAAGTATGGGCGGTTGAAGGATTAACATGGTTGCATTTTGTTTGTTGAAACTGACATGGTGGTGGTAAACGATTATTGATGAACCAAGCACTAACACAAAGGGAAAATCTGTTAATATTAACCCATCTTCATGTCTGTCCTTTGCATGTTATTCTATCATAAAAAAGCAAGTATTATTTGATCACAAAAAAAGATCTTCTGAATCATGAGTTGGTACTTAAGGTGATAACTTCTATTGCCGAAACTTGAAGAAAACAGTGAGCTTTGTTAGTCTAAACTTCACCTGGGTATTGCCTGGGGGTTTTATAGACGACCCAGGCATGCTTAAAGTGTATATCAAGAGGGGTAGTACTGATGAAAAAAATCGACTGGGGCCGGAACACACACAGTCTTCCTATTGAATTAATAAATTAATTATCTCCTTAGAAGTTCTAAGGTATCAATAAAAAAGTTTAGCTCTATAGATAGCTATATTTGAAAGGTGATTTTATTCTTTTTATGGTGTCAGGAATCAGCAGAGACACAGAACAACAAAAGACTGCAATACCACAGTGGTAGAGGAAGCCTGAATGACTGTTGGGGAACAAGATCTTGGCACTGGTCTGTTGATAAGTTGGCTTAGCTGATATTATCTGATTTTAGGAGTTCTGATGTATCGGGGGTTCACCTTAGACGAGTTCTGCGATCAGTGTTACGGAAACGTAGCTGATAGGAAATTGCATTCATTAGTTTTTTCAATTTTGGGCTAGAGAAACTTCGAATGTTATCAATTACATGTTTATACTTGTTAACACAAGGCATTTGTCATTGGTCAATTGCAAGATGTGCACCAAGGGAATAACTTCTAATTTAAAGTTTGCAAGATGGATCTCTAATATTCTTTGGAATTGGGTTTTAGTGTGAATGCATGTTTAGTGGTAAGGGCAAGCAAATGCCTATTCACTACGGGAGTGTTGATCTGAACTTTGTAACAATCTCAAGCCCTCTTGCAACTCAGATGCCTCAAGGTTATTGTAGAATTTAGAAAGACGTAGCAACACTGTGCTTATTATTTTTATAAAATTAATTAGCTTGCTTTATTTTTTTATTTATGCTTGACATTTTATAGAACAAGCAACTTTAGTTTGGAAAATTTGGTTACTTAATATGATAGAACAGCATACTAAAATATTTCCTTATTTCTTCTCTTGTCATGTAAACTTCACTTAAGGGTATTTATTTTAGTGAAAGAATAAGGTAGATAAACTTCCAAGATTATTCTCTTTCTCTTCAGATTATTTCTCATTAATTTAGTTATTTAAATTTTTTTGTAATCCCTGGACTGGAAGGGTCAGGTTATGTTAATTATTAAAATGTTTTTGCTTCTATTTATGACAGTATTTTTGACATTTCGAAAGGATCTTTTCCAATTCAGTGATAAAATTTTCAAACGCCACAAATTTTATCCAAATTAGAATTATTTATAAGTTAGAACCAGGCCAACATGCTAACCATTACCCGCAGCTTATGTCTAATAAAATAAGGATGATTAAATTTTAAAAAATTAACATATCCTCCTGTGCTTTTTATCTGCCCACATTATGTTGAAGAAGTTGTAACATTAATTATTGACCACTTTGACTCTCCCAGTAGGTTTGAATTATACAATTCTAACTGCATGCTTTGACTAACACATTTTGGTAAATATATTTGAAATATAAAACTACAGCACCAACAAAATTATTTTCTTTAGCGGCCGGGTCTGCTTATGCGTTTAAACGAGCACAGAACGGGCTTGTAGTCATCTGCTACTTTGGAGAAGGTGCTGCCAGTGAAGGTAACTCTAAAACATCTAGTGTGTACAATATTTTAAAGAATTTATTTATAGATAACTATTGTTATAGGGAACAAAACCTTGAAAGTTTATTTTAAACCATACATTATTATACATACTAATGATTAATAAAACACATATTTTTTAAGTTTATACTTCAATCTGATAGAAAAAGGTTTATATATTGCACTGCTTAGAAGACATGATTTCAAGATGCAAGAGAAAACTTGAAATGTTGTCACTTTGCATGAGCTGTCAAATCAACAAATGTTGCGTATTTGTCTTAATTAAAGAAAGAAAAGCATGTTAAATCACGACATTTTTCGAGGCGACATTTCATAGTTTGTTGGATATTTTGTCTGTGTTTTAGGAGATGCGCACGCAGCTTTCAATTTTGCCGCAACACTTGAATGCCCTATCCTATTTTTCTGGTAAGGAACATGAATAAGGGAGGTGATATTATTGTATTTATAGAGTATTTATATATGATTATTACAACCTATTATCACAACATTATTATTTTTCATAACTCTAAAGTTCACATATTCCTTAAGTAGTCCTATTATTTTGAATTAGTAAGAATTTTAGTAGGTTTTAACTACTTTCAAATTAAAAAAAAAAGCCCCCACATAAAAACCAATAAAACCCAATAAACCCACTGGGCTGGATATTTAAAAAAACGGCTTTTTTCCAACCCTGGAGTGAATACTAAGAGTTTTTAGGGGGATTTCGTTCAAAAAAATTCCTTTTAAAGCAACCTTAAAGTGTGTCTTATTCTATTCATTTCTTCCTTCTTTAGGTCATTAATCCCTTTTTGACAATTAACTGTTAATTTTCAGTCGTAACAATGGCTACGCTATCTCTACCCCAGTACAAGATCAATATAGAGGAGATGGTATAGCGGTCAGAGGCCCAGCTTATGGAATGGCTACCATTAGGTCAGTTAAATAACTTACACTTCTGGTTGATTTCATGCCATGTTTGAGTTGATATATTGCCCTATGGTGGGCGATCTTTTGTCATGTTGGATTTGATTTACAAAATAAAGGTTTATTGTTTACGTTTGGTAATTTTACTTATTTGCCGATATATTTGGGTTGTTAAATATTGATTGCGGCTACTTGATAAATTTCTAAATTAAGCTAATGAAACTTTCCAATTAGATTTGTAATTTATAGGGTTGACGGTAATGATGCGCTTGCTGTGTACAATGCAACCAAGGCTGCCAGAGATATGGCTGTGAAAGAAAACCGACCTGTACTCATCGAGGCAATGACTTACAGGTAACAGTAAAATAACAACAGACAGACAGTCAAGAAAAATTAAACTGTGGTTAAATACAGTGGTGTATACAATTCCAATTTTTTTATTCTTTCCCCCCGTCTCAAATTTGTTTATTTCCTCCCCCAAATTCGATAACTAAAAAGACATAATTTTTTAATTTTTATATTGCAGTGCATAACAATCCGTCAAATGATGCATTTTTAAAAACACGTTTTTTTTTGCTGCAATATAACTATTGGGGAAAACTATTTATCAAAAACTCTCTGATTTTAGGTAAAGTTAAGTAGTTATGTAAAGGTAAATAACTTCAGCCCTTCCCTTTCCTCCACTTCTTTATCCGCCAACCTTCCATTGGATCGCTTACCTTCCCGATCTACCCTACCTTCTTTTTACCTTCCCCTTCGATTTCCCTTCCTTGTCCCATCCCTATATTTCTCTTTCCCTCTTAACCTTCCCTTTTCCCTCTCAATCTTCCCAATTCCCTTTCCTTTCCCTTCCTTTTTTCTTCCCTTTTTCCGTACCTTTTTCTTTCCCTTCCCCTCCTCTCGAGTCTTTGATTTCTTTCCCCCCTCCCAAGGGGAGGGGGGGGGGGGAAAGAATTTTACACACCCCTGGGTTAAAAAATACATTACTTTTAACTAATGAATCATGATCATTAATCTTATTTAAAGTTAAGCTCTTTTTTATATGAAAATAAATGTAAGTAAGATTAGTTTGCCATGTTTGTATGTGCAAATAAAACCTTCAGATTGATTTGATAATTGACTGTTCACCAAGGACTGGACACTCAATTCTGAACCTTAGAAGCTGGTGGCAAATCCCTGCAGATTTTGAATTAATTTCTTTTCATTTATTTTCATTTGATTTTCATTTGATTTCATTTGATTTCATTTGATTTTATTTGATTTCATTTGATTTGATTTGATTTCATTTGATTTCATTTGATTTCATTTGATTTGATTTGATTTCATTTAATTTGATTCGATTTGATTTGATAATGTTGACATCTTTCTTTTAGAATTGGGCATCACAGTACATCAGATGACAGTTCAGCCTACAGATCTGTAGATGAGGTTAAACAGTGGAACCAGAAGGATCATCCAATCACAAGGTCAGCTTAAACATAATTTTTATGTAAAGAGAAAAGTGTGTTTTTTCCTCTAAGAAGAACCATTTAAATTGTATGTCTTAGGTCTAATGAGTGATGTCTTGTGTCTTATGTCTGATTCATGATGTTTTGTGTCTTATGTCTTTGTCATGTCTTGTGTCTTATGTCTTGTCAACTTACTTACAACTAACAGAAAATTAGCTATATGTGACTGCAGTGCTTAGGATCCATTTAATTTTGATCCGGATCCGAATCCTAAGCACTGTGTGACTGTCATTCTGATGTTTAGGTTCTACAACTATATTACCAGAAAACTAGCTATATTTGACTATTCTGTTATTTAAGTTTTACAACTATATTACCAGAAAACTAGCTATATTTGACTATTCTGCTATTTAAGTTTTACAACTATATTACCAGAAAACTAGCTATATTTGACTATTCTGCTATTTAAGTTTTACAACTATATTACCAGAAATTTAGCTATATTTGACTATTCTGGTATTTAGGTTCTACAACTATAATACCATAAAACCAGCTATATTTGACTATTCTGGTATTTAGGTTCTACAACTATATTACCAGAAAACTAGCTATATTTGACTATTCTGGTATTTAGGTTCTACAACTATAATACCAGAAAACCAGCTATATTTGACTATTCTTTTATTTAGGTTCTACAACTATATTACCAGAAAGGGGGTCTGGTCTGAACAGCAGGATAAAGAATGGAAAGATGATTCAAGAAAACAGGTTAGAGCCTAAATCCTAATTTCTCTGTTATGTTTATAAGTTCTGTCTCTAATGTTTTATGTTGTTTAGGTATTGCAGGCATTTGCCCGAGCTGAGAAGAAGTTGAAGCCGAGCTGGACTGAGATGTTTACAGAGGTTTATGACGAGATGCCGTCAGATCTTAGGTAATTTCCCAGGGGTGTATATTTTCTTGAAAATATCCCCCCTCATCCTATTGATTAGATAGGTATGAAAACTAACGGAAAATTTTGGTAAAAAAAAAAAAAAAAGATGAAAAACTTGCCTCTTGCCCTCGATGTCCATTTTTTATTTTTTTCTCAGATCTTCAAAATTAATCCCCCCCCCCCCTCACTGAGGGGTAAATTGTTCTTGAAAATATTCACACCTGTAATTTCTCAGAGACAACGGTGTCAGATAATTTTTTTCTATTATCCTTGAGTATGTCAAAATGCCGAACATTTGGTTCGGGTTTGAAAACAACATGTTATGGATATCTCACAATATTTTTATTGAACAACAAATTGATGGGAGAATGTTTTTATCTAAATAGAAATAAACAAAACTTCTAAATTCCATTGAACTGGATTGAGATCCATGTTTAAAGAGGTGTATGACAAGATGTCATTAGAGGCCGAATAAAAAAAATTTGAACCGCGTCGCTGAACCGCCAATAACTTGTTCCAATTGAGCGCCCGGCTTAAATCTCGAAACATTTATTAAAATTTCCAGCTGAACCAACCATGTTTGAAGCGCGTATCATGTTTTAACCGCGTCTTGATGAGGTTTAAATTCTTTGACTTTTGCCTCAGATCCATTTTCAACACTGTTAGAATAAAACCTAACGTTTTGCTGGTGATATTGAAAAATCAGAAGAACTTAGAAATTACGAACATTTTGTTATATTCCACAAATTTTTAAGATAATATTATTGATAATTTTAAAAATATTTTTCTGAAAATTTCTAAAAAATAAATTTGAACCAACAATTTTTTTAACTAGCTATCTTTTCCTATAACAGCAACGTTTTTGCAATTGGTGAATTCTCGATTTGTTGATTTAGTGCATTTTTTATGTTTTAGACGACAGAAAGAAGAGATGGAGGCCCATGTGAAGATGTATAGGAAAGCAAATATTTAAAATTTCTGAAGTTAATTATAAAGATGATTATTGAAAAATTTAAGGGGCTGTCATCGTGATTTATAGCGATTCTTCGATTACAGATCTCAAGTCCTGGATTGTTTAAAAATTTAATGAATACTGAGATCGTTGTTTATTTGTCACTAAATCGACTGTCGGATGTTATGTAAGTGACACCTAATTTAATAAGTGATATACCCAATGCACAACAGTATCATTTAAATCTTTAGCTGAGTAACAGTGGGGAAAATATCATTGGTTTTAATCTTAGTTTTAAAATCAGAGTCCCATTTTTGTCTCTACTCTCTATCCATTTATCTACTCTCAGTTCTATACAGAAAAAAATCCACAGAAGAAATTTTCAGGTTCTAGAGAAAAAAATTATTTAGAACAAAGGGTTCGGTTGTGCCCCTCTTTGATTTACTTCTACAGTCCTGTAATGAACAGAATCCCAGTCATGTACTCTCTTCCAGAAATCTTCGAGATGGTTTTTAGCAAAGTAGTTCATGATAAGAAATATTTATATATATAAAAAAAGAAAATGACAATTGTTAACTTTTACCTTTTTGTCAAATATTTTCACATCTTGCCTATTTTTTTTTATTATTATTTGCTTCCAGTGATAAATATCCTCTACAGAATTATCAGAAATGAAGACAGGTAATTATCTATTTATCTACAGGGCTACCCACAAAGGATGAGACTGTGAAGACGACCGAAAACTCTGAAAATGTGATGATCCCATGGTTGAATTAAGTATTCGCCTTTAGATATAGTAATCTAATGTCTTATATAATGATTTTGCAAAGAAATAAACAAGTTTACAGTTGCAGGGAATCATGAATATAAGGAAACAGACCATACCAATTCCGTACAATCGTCTCTGAAGTCACTTCCTTTGTGGGTCCCCCTGTACAATACATAATAGTTAAATGGGGCGGGAAATAATCAATTTTGATGGGGACTTCTTGAGGCTTTTTATTATTATTGTTCCAACCCAAGCAGGGCATTGGGAATAAAAATGCTTGTCCAGCTAGGACAAATAAGGTAGTCTCAGACTTGAAAACTGCTTTTTGTCCCGGGACAATGAAGTCGGAGATTAAGTATCGGCAGAAAACTCAATCTTAGAAAGTTTTGAGCGGAGCAATAAGTTTTACAATTGTTGTTACAATTGTTACTTTACTAATATTTAGCTTTTATTTAGGAAAACTGAAAAGTCACACTAGCCACAAACTGTAATTTTCTTATTCCCTTAACTTTGCAACCTGAAGGTGTAAACCTTGGATATTTTAATTTTCATTTCTTGAATTTATAGTTTAACCCTATCTCTGCTGGGGTACTTGAAAACCAGGATACGCTGGGGGGGGTCAATTTGACCCCCCCCCCCCCTCTAAATCCCATGTTTGATGTCCAAATATAACAAATGATACATCATTAGAAAGCTCTTGTGCACTACTTTTAGAAAATGCAAACAAATTTGCAAATTTGCAAAAATTGAATTTTTATCGCAAAATCCAGTTATATAGTAAAAATGTGTGCAAAAAAAAAATTGTCAAAAAAATGAAAAATTATACATTTTTGAAAAGCCCTTGACCATGCCATTTCAAATATGCAAAAATTTTTGCAAAATTTTAAATAACATGATTTTTAATCAAGAAAAACTAAAAATGTGCAAATTTCCTTTGACAGGTTGTTTGCAAAAAATTTGCAATTTTTTTTTCGCAAAACTTGTGCAATTTGTTTCCTTTTGTCAAAGGCTTTCCAAAAAGCTAAATTTTATCAAAATCTGACAAGTGAAAGTGGCTCAAAACAAAGATTTAGTTTGTTACAGGAAAAAGCAGTCATTCAGGCAGTGTGCCTGAGGACTCAGGCAGTTAGTATTAAAGCCCTGTTTTAGGCCTAAAGGGAGGGCTATGGGTATGTAAGAAAAGTCAGAAAATTTCAACAGCCTCAGACCAATACTTTTTGAGTTATGTAAAAAAAACTACAGGGGGGGTCAAATTGCCCCCCCCCAGCGGGAATAGGGTTAAATACCCAAGGTGCATCAGTTTTAGTTCTTTAGTTAGAGACTCAGGTAGCAAAGATACAGTAATTAGAAAGTTAGCATTTTTGGCAAGTGTTTTATTCTATTGCTTGCAGCCATAAAAAGTTCTGAATTAAATTTCTGAATTTATTATTAACATTTTTTTCAGGTTGAATCCTCGAGTATTAGCTAGTTAGCAGAAGGCGGCGGGAAAGTGGATAAAAATTAAAATGTGAAAAAATCTGAACATTTTAAATTTTTTATTTTCAACACTTCATGTCAAAAGTTTTATCAAATTTTCTCACAAGTTTTGTAATTATGAACTTGATAGAATTGTTAAAATGTTGTTTGGTGCCATAAATAGAAATCTCTAATGTTTACTAGATATATTATGTATTCACATCCTGTTATGTTTATCTAAATAAATTTTGTCATTCAAGTGAATTTGAATTTAATTTTTATTAAAACAATTCAGTATAATTATAATTAGTTATAATTTTGTTACAAGAACTTAGGTTGTCGAATAATTCTACCAGATAGGGGGCAGGGCGGCCTATCATAATAACATTCATACTTTTTTCAAAAAAGAATCAAGTTATGTACACATATCNCTCCTGGATTGGCGTATTTACTTTCCAATAAAAAAACTCCGAAATTTTATTAAATATAAAAGTCGATAATGGAAATCAAAATTTAGAAACCTCCAAAAGTATTTTTGTATAGTTTATAATAGAGCGCAGTGAAAATTGCAGAAATGTTTTGCATTTGGCTCTCTTTTGTGGATCAATTTTTTTTATTCAGCTGAAGATGTTTCTTGATTTCGTGTCATAAGTTTCTGGGAAATAGATGCCGAATTCAAATTTAAAATATATTTGGTATAATATTAATTTCTTGATGAGTTTTGTGCATGATTTTAGTGGGATTTTTAACCTTCTATTTAAATTTTTTTGAGCACAAAATCTAAGAAGAAACTGATTTAGAAAATATGCAAGTTTTAATACCATTTTCAAATAGATAGCATTGTAGAATTTGTACTCTTAGTACATCTGTATCCTTACGTCACAAGTGTCAGCAGTTTCAGGTATCTAACAAAAATATTAATGATAGTGAGGATAAAGTGCTTATCTTACAGTGAAATAAGTGCAATTTTGTGTTCTTTATTTTCTGTTTTTTACCACTTTTTTATTTAATCTTGGAAAACATGTAAAGGATTTGTTATGGGAAAAAATTTTCTGAAATATTTTTGGTATAATGTGAATGAATGCTATGAATCCTGTAATTGTCTTTCATACACTCGGAAGCTTCATCCCCAAATTTCATCTCTCGCATTATTCGTATCTAAAATAATTTTAATGGGAATGTACGCCGGTACTGGTGATATCAAGTGACCCTCTGTTTAAAGATGGCAATGCCCTGGATTTTAAAACCTATTTTTATTCTGGAAAATACGATTTTAAACTTCTGAAAAGCTACCTGCACTGCAGAGACCTCTATTGGTAGCTTGAGAACTATCCATGTAACAGATTTATAAAGCTAACTGCACTGAAGAGACCTCTTTTGGTTGGTTGAGAACTATCCATGTAACAGATTCATAAAGCTACCTGCACTGAAGAGATCTCTATTGGTTGCTTAAAAACTATTAAGGTTCAAAAAGCTACCTGCATCAAAGAAACCTTTGTAGGTTGCTTGAAAACTATCCATGTAACAGATTCATGATGCTACCTGCATGGAAGAGATCTCTATTGGTTGCTTGAGAACTATCCATGTAACAGATTTATAAAGATACCTGCACTGAAGAGACCTCTATTGGTTGCTTGAGAACTATCCTTGTAACATATTCATGAAGCTACCTGGCCCGCAGATACCTCAATTGGTTGCTTGAGAACAATACATGTATCAGAGCTACCTGCACTGAAAAAAACTCTATTGGTTGCTTGAGAACTATCCATGTAACAGATTCATTAGGATACCTGGACCGAAGAGACCTCTATTGGTTGCTTGAGAACTATCCACGTAACAGATTCATAAAGGGGAGGAGTAGTCAGAGAACCTTCATAAGTCCAGTAACTCTGATTTCTAAAAACACACCAATAGAAGGACACCCACATAGGCTAATAATACAAAGGACCTAATTATATCTTAAAAAATAGAAATTGAAATGCTCAATATAATTTTAAAGGGCCACTAAATTATTTCTAAAAAATAGATTAACAAGGCACAGACAATTATTTTTGTACAAAAAAAATCAGAAAATCTCATTTGTATGAAACTTTTGACTATATCTTGACCTAGTTAACTAGTCTTAATCTTTAAAAAAAAACAGTCTTTGAAACGAGTTTTTACAAGCAAATGTTTGTCTGAGCGACATTAAGTATATAAAATTCAGGTAGTTGACTCAATATAAAAACTTAAGCAATGCACACTGGAACTATTTTTCGTAAAAACTGCTACTGACCTAGCTAAAAGTATGTATATATTTAAAACGTAAAAGATTTGCGTTTTAACATGCAAATTTCTCTATTTGCCAAATTACGTAAAAAAACATCAAGTTTTTGTTTGAATTATGCATTTGTTTCGTAAAAAACATGCATGTATTCGAATTATGTAAAAAACTAATTATTGATGTTGATGGTTAATATATCGTTAGAACTGACAAGGGTCAACCTAGTCTGAAATTTAGTTTTAATAAATGTGGAACTAACATCTACTAATTTACTCTACAGAGGTTTGTACATCACCATCGTCGAATTTTAAATCATGACAAATTGTGCTTATGTAATTTAGATTGCTAGGTGAGATCTGTTTATGAACCTACTTAGGTAGCAAATCTGCTGGATTAATAGGTTCTGGTAAGTCCAGAGTATCCCCCTTTCTGTAAACATTATTATTATTCATTATTTATTTATTAGGATAAGCAGGGGCGTATTCAGGTATTTGTCCAGGGAGGGCTTAAATTTTTTCTTTTTCCAGGGGGGGCTCAGCACTCTTTGGGACCTGAAAATCCCCTGAAATTAATAGATTTAACTGGTATGGGGGGGCTTAGCCCCCCCTGTATACGCCTCTGAGGATAATAGTTCTAAAATTTAGTAGAAACTTTTTTATTCTGTTTCTCGGTTCTAAAATAATTGTATTCGAATTTTTACCGGGTCTAAATATGGGAATTAGAGACAATCTGAAATATCTGATGGTTGATAATTAACAAAGAGTGTTTTAAAAAAATATGTATTACGAGATTTATAAAATTTAGCCTTTCTTCTTTGCATCTTCAACCTTTACAGAGATAATGAACATTTGTAAAAAAAATGGTAGACTACATTTTGGAAGTCCCAAGACTATATAGTAGATTTGGGTGTCAAATGTTTTAACTACTAAAATTGTTTTAACAAGATAATGTAATAAAGATGATATTATGGACACCCTGTATCTAATTATGGTACCTGGGTATATCCTGAAGAACCTCGCAAAGTTTACCAAATTCAGGGTGCTCATCACCAACCTAGGAACGATTTAAAAGGAATTGATTCTGATTTTCTTATCCATACAATTTTGTAACCCAACGATATTTCCAACCATTAAGTAATTATATTAGATATCAACAAGTTTGAAATATCTTTCTGTCTCTTTGTATCCAAAAAACGTCAAAACGGCTGAACTAACCGGGCCAAAATTTTGTATAGGACCTCACGTGACCCCAGGGAAGGTTTTTGAATGATCAGAAAAATTTGTGTTAAAAAGTTATTTATCCTATAAAGTATTGAAAATGCTCAAAAAATATTATGAAATCCGCAATCTTTTCTTTTCCTGTACAAAAAGAAGATGCTCACAGATCAAGCCACAATTAAAAGTTTAAATAGAATATGGTCGCGAAGCGCCTTATAAGCCTAGTAAATTATATTAGGATTATATGAAGTAAACACAATGATATTACTTTGATAAAGACTCCAAGAACAGCGAGACCGTCAGGTTTATCTGCAGCTTCACCAAAGGATCCGTATTTAGAGTTGTAGTGGACTAGGTGAAGTTCAGCTGAGAACATCTAAAGATGGAAGTAATTTTGAATAAAGGAAACATGAGTTAAAAGGATTGGTCTCAGGAAGGGTTATTCTCCTACCTCGTCTCAATAGAATCTTTCTGTAGAAGGAGCTGATTCATTTGGTACACTGTCTCGTTTTGCCTTAGAAAGTCTATATGTAAACTGTTCTGCTTGATCTAGGTGCTTAAAAGTTGGCCCGAAACTTAAAATGAACCAGAGTGTACAGTGGGCTGTACTTACCTTTCCATCCACAGTGTGTTTACTCCCTTTACTTTTCTTTCCATCCACAGTGTGTTTACTCCCTTTACTTACCTTTCCATCCACAGTGTGTTTACTCCCTTTTCTTACCTTTCAATCCACAGTGTGTTCACTCCATTTACTTACCTTTCCATCCACAGTGTGTTCACTCCCTTTACTTACCTTTCCATCCACAGTGTGTTCACTCCCTCTACTATTCTCTCCTCCCCAATGTGCATGAAACTGTGCTAGATGGTAAATATCTGATAGCAAGGGACCTCCCTTTAAACCTGAAAACACAATGAGTCTGAAGTCTATTCTGGAAAGTTTAGTTAATGCACTGTAAAAAGTGTATTTAAATTAGCCCCCATAAAATACTAATGTGATTTCACTTTGTTTATTTTTTTGTTATCTATCAAAATGAAAATTCTTTCAAAAATTTGTCTCAAAAGTTTGTAACGCTCTCTAGCGATCATATTTTAAAGTTGTATTAGAAATTTAGAACTTGGGCCTTTTACTTTCTTAATTAGTGGGAAAAAATTACAAACTGGCAAAACACAGACAAAATTATGTTCCTCAGTTAAAAAGGGCAAATTCAATTTTTCAGAGGGAGAGGGGTAAAGAGCACTGTCTCCAAGTCTGCATATGTGCTTACTTGACCCTTCAGGTAGAACGTTGACCTTCCAGCTGGATCCAGTATTCTCTGCACTCTGGCAGTTGGCCGGAATATAAGTGTACTCAAGCTGGGACAGTTCAGCGCTAGTTTCAACCTGAAGGATTAAAACTGTACTCAAGCTGGGACAATTCAGCGCTATTTTCAACCTGAAGGATTATAACTGTACTCAAGCTGGGACAGTTCAGCGCTAGTTTCAACCTGAAGGAATATAACTGGACAATTCAGCGCTATTTTCAACCTGAAGGATTATAACTGTACTCAAGCTGGGACAGTTCAGCGCTAGTTTCAACCTGAAGGAATATAACTGTACTCAAGCTGGGACAATTCAGCGCTAGTTTGAACCTGAAGGAATATAACTGTACTCAAGCTGGGACAATTCAGCGCTAGTTTCAACCTGAAGGAATATAACTATACTCAAGCTGGGACAATTCAGCGCTAGTTTCAACCTGAAGGAATATAATTGTACTCAAGCTGGGACAGTTCAGCGCTAGTTTCAACCTGAAGGAATATAACTGTACTCAAGCTGGGACAATTCAGCGCTAGTTTCAATATGAAGGATTATAACTGTACTCAAGCTGGGAGAATTCAGCGCTAGTTTCAACCTGAAGGATTATAACTGTACTCAAGCTGGGACAATTCAGCGCTAGTTTCAATATTAAGGATTATAACTGTACTCAAGCCGGGACAATTCAGCGCTAGTTTCAATATTAAAGAATATAACTGTACTCAAGCTGGGACAATTCAGCGCTAGTTTCAATATTAAAGAATATAACTGTACTCAAGCTGGGGCAATTCAGCGCATAGTTTCGATCTGAAGGAATTTTTTGCGGTTTACTTAGTTGACAATTAAACCATTTTTAGGCTTAGAGAATCTTTGCCTTTTAGTTCAACATGTTTATAAATGGTTCAAAATTACTTTTAATCCATTGTAAATGTGAATAACATTCCTGGATTTTCCTGAAGACGTTCTGAGTCCCCAGAATGATGTTATTTTATTTGCTGAAGATTTAACAAATTTGAGTTTTCTAATTTAAAATTTTCAAACAGTTGTAAAACCAAAATATCATACAATAACCTGAGTTTATCAATGCTAGGTGAATAATTACTGTTACCCTGACATGAAATAGAATACTAAATAGAAGAGATCAGCAGTAAGGATTGACAAGTTGGACAAAGACATGAGTAAGCCATTGGACCAATGAGAAACGTTTAATCCCCTTGAAGTCTGCCATTTATCTTTTTTGTTAATATTTCTTGACAATGTCGTAAAATGGGTTGAAATGACCTGAACCTGGCTTGTAAGAATATCTACTGGGGATTGCCTGCTGCCTGCTAGTGATATTGAGAAAATCCCATCATCAACTTTCACAATAAATATATATTCTTCATCAAAACTTGTGTAACATTATTAAAAGTCGTCTTTAGCCCACGCGGAACGTATTTAATAAATCACTACAAAAGTATTAATAGGTGCTTTCCCAAAGGCATTTTCTGAAGGGCGACTTCTCAGAGACAATTTCCCAAGTGGCAACTTCCCAAATGTGCAATTTCCCAAGTGGCATCTTCCCTAAGGTTAGGTTAGGCCCCCTGTTGCTACACAGGCTGCAACGGAAAAGGACCTTCGGGAAATTACCTAACTTCAAAAATAATACTAATGTTGTCTGGCCCGTTTTTGATTAAAAGATAAAAGTCTTATTCTACTGATATACTTAAAGAATTTTTGATGTTTAAAAGGATCCACATTTAAATTTTTTTTTTTAAAGTTTCATAAATTTTGTCTGTTTAAAAAAAATCGGAAATTTTTTCCTCAACTTTTCTCAAAGTTAAAAAATTTGATAATTTGATCTGAATATTTATTTTCAAGGAAATGGTCGATGTAGTTTAAATTTTAACAGTTCTAAATGATAATATATCCTTTTCTGAAAACCACCTCTGAATAGCTAAACTCTACTCATGCTAAAAGTCTTGTATTGCACCTGTTTTTTTGGCAAACCCTGCCAATTATAAAATGCGATATCCAGAGAAAAGAGTATTAGTATGTAAAATTTTATATTGTTTAATGTAATTTTGCTTTAGACAAATATAAATGATGAATATATATATCCCTATATGCCAACAAGAGGGGCCTAGAAAAAAAAACAAATTAATTGTTTAAATACTATTTTTCTTGAAGTTTAAAGTTACCATTTTCTCCCCCGTATCCCCATTCACTCATGGTTTGTCTGAAATTTTCTTCAAAGCATTTAATGAATGAAGAAGAGTGTATGTACAGGGTTATCCTTCTAGGATGAGATTGCTAAGATGACCGAAAACTCTTAAAATGTGACGATCCCAAGGCTAAACTAAGTATTTGGCCTTAGATATAGTAATCTAATGGCTTTTATAATAATTTGGTAAAGAAAGAAGTTTACAGTTACAGGTTTTCGTGAATTAAGGAATCAGACAGTATAAATTCTCTGAAGTCTGATCCTATGTAGGTAACCCCGTATGTAGAGATGGGGATCATTTTTGCGAACAAACCAAATTTTCTTTAAAGATGGTGTGGCCATGGTAAAATAAACAAACGTGGAACTAACGAATTGGATCGTTCAAAGAAATCATTTTAAAATTTAGAATTTTTATGGATCAGTCAGAGCGTTAATAAATGATTTCTAAATTGGTGGTAGAAAAGCAATCTTTTTTATTGAAAAAAAGAATTTTTGGAATAATCTGTTGAAAAAACTGTAGTTTTTACTGAAAACTATCGTTTTTATTGAACGGATGATTTCAGAGAGCGACCATTTAGTTAGAAAACGAACGAAATAGATGAAGAACGAACGAATTAAAATATTTTTGAACGAGTAAAAAAAACTAACAAAATGGGCCGTTAATGCACGATACACGAACAAATTGAAAAAGAATCCGAACGCCCCTATATTTGTAGGCATTTTATGTACTAAAGATAAGATAAGGGAAGGATCTGAAAACCCTCTTAAAACTTAACACTTAAAAAGATGTAACAAAGATAAGAAAGTGTTACAAAAATAGTACGTTCAAATTGTATATAATATATATATATAGTTAGCCCGTGGAAAAAATGTAAAAAGAAAAATTTGAAAAAAAATATTTCGAACTTTTTTTGGCCTCTAACGCCCTCGGGCCACCCCTGAGTTTGGCCGGCTATAGACAATATATTCATATACGAATGTCTTGTTTTATTTAATAGATTTCTTAGGCAGATTTTTTCTCCAAAAATGTACACTAATAAGTATATCAATAATTAAATTAACTTATCTGTACCCAGATGAACACTGAACTGAAAATATAAGATTTACAATAATGAGGAAGAAAAGGAGGAGGAGGGTTGGATCGAATGTGACACGCAAATGATTTATAGATTTTTCGTCAGATTCGAAGATTTTCATTTTTCTCAATATCTCCAAAATAAACTTCTCACGACAAAATGTTAAAGGTTTCTTTGTAAAATTTCTTAAAATATTGTTTTTTTTGTTGTTGATTTTGTTTACTTTTAATTAGAACATTTTTGTTCTGAGATTTCTTAAAATCTATCAGGATATGGTGAGGTTTTTGTGAAATCTGAAATTGATTAAGAAAATTTATTTATTTGTAGGGATTTCCATCAAAGAATAAGACTGTGAAGACGACCTGAATATAATATAATATGGCAAAGTACCTCGAGAAGTGTCATTTACTTTTGCAAAGAAAAAAACAAGTTTACACTTGCAGAGAGTTGTGAATATACGGAAACATACAGTATGAATTCAGTACAGTCAACTCTGAAGTCTGGGTCTGTCCTAGAGAACGATTTTTGAACCAAAAGTTCAGAAATTGACTCAGAATTCAACCAGTAAACCTTTTTAACCAACCAATAAATAAAACTTTAAATCTTTTGTTCACCGATTTATTTCTGAGGTTTTAAAATCTAGTCTCTCCTAATTTTTCTCTTGCTGAACACGTTTGATAAATATTCCCGTGAAAATGACAAAATTTGTATTTTTAATCCTGTTTGAATGTTTCAGCCCCTGAGCCCTGGCTTTAAATTGAAATAATCATTTAATTTCATGCTGTCAATTAGTGGTGTGCGCCGTCATATTTTTCAAACCTTTTTTTGAAAACTAAAATTAACGTTAGATTCAATCCAATCAATATCTCACGTTCACGGTGATTTAGATGTCTAGTTTTAGTGTCCGAGACTCTTCATTTTCTGCAGCTTTCACCGATTAAAATCATGTCATACCTCATTTTCTTATAATTAAAAAATATATAAATTAAAAAAACTGAAATCATTTTTGAGGTTTTGTCGAAAACGGTGTCCAAAAACTTAAATTAATTTTTTTTTCTCACCAACGTTTTCAGAAACCAGTTTAGAAAATAATACAAAATAGTAATGTTTCATAAAATTCCATTTTTCACCCGACAAAGACCTAATTTATATTCAACTGATATAAAGGATATCCATTAAGTTAGATGAAACGTTAAACTCACAGAAAATTATAAAAATTTTATATCTTTGTGACAGCATTTATAAGAAATAAAGTTGGGGTATAAATGTGGTGCTACTGGTGCAACTTTGTGACCTCGTAATTCCTCTAGTTTTTAGTTTTACATAAAAGAAAATCAAAATCATTTGGTTGCAACAGCTGTTCTAAGTTTTATTTGAAAAACTGCTAGATTTTAAACTGAAATAAATCGCACTGAAGTTGAAGTAAGGATTTAATTCTTTGTCACAAACTCAGATTTTCTAATTCCTATATCTTTGCAATCAAATTTCAAACTATAAATTCTGTCAGTTCAAATAATCTAAGTTTACACCATCAGGTTCCAAAGATATAGGGATTAGAAAATTTGAGTTTGTGGCAAAGACTCAATTCCTTTCAGAAAAGTACCAAACCAAACCAAACATTTTCTGGAAAAATGCAAGAATTAATTTATTAAATATAAATATACAGAGCTACATTTGTTTACATTGACACATTCAGATAGAAAACAATGGTAATAGTTTAAATACTTATATTTTAATATTTTCAAGTGTTGCGTAGTAGAGAATTTAAACAATAGCATAATTGCATATTTAATAATAATTCTAGATTATTTGATATCATTCTTTTCATATAAAAAAAATCTTATATAAAAAAGTTTTTTATCGATAGAAATGTATTATTATATCGTTTATTTTTCTACTCCCTTTGATACAAATTTATAAAGAAACTGATTATTTGTTTCAAGCTCTAATTTTTATCCTCATGTGAGTGCAATATGATCTTGCAGACATTTGGCATTTCAAATTATAAATTCTGGTGGTTTGAATAAAGTTGAATGCAAAGGAATTGAGGAATTGAGTCTGTGCCACAAACTCTGAGTTTCTAATCTATATATCTTTTCAACTCAATGTCGTAGAACTCAAATATTTTTAACTATGAATTCTGTCAGATCAATTAATCTGTGTTAAAATATCAAAAGTTTACGCTATCAGGTTGCAAAGATATAATAATTGGAAAATTTGTGTTTGTGACAATTACTCAATTCCTTCATCTACAATTGCTGAAAAGAATAATGATTTTATATTTATTTAAACAAACTTTTATTTTACTGTGTTAAATTTAAGATTATTAGGTTTGCTTTTCAATAAACCTTTGTTGGAATTAAACACAAAAAATATTTTTCAATCTTATTCAAAAGTGTCAAGCGGTACTTAAAGCCAATTTCAAATGGAAGCCTAATTTAAAAAAAAAGCAGTGGATATGCCTCCCTCTTTACCAACTGACGGTTGTAAAAAAGATACTAAAAATTGGTATTTATAACACAGTATAGTCAGCATCCTTTTAATTTAAATTCAAATTCAAAGTAAATCTAAAAGTTTGCGTTATGCATATTATAGTTTATAAGGTGTCTCAATAGGACTATTGACAGATCTATTAATCAAATTTTTAAAGTTTTTAGAATACCTTCTAGTAATTTTTTTGTATTTTTAACACAAAAATTATGATATAATCTTAAATATTTGAGGACTAGGTCAGCTTAAGATAATTTGTATGCCGAGCTGGACTGCAGCTAGGGTGACCGAGCGACGCGACTTTGACAGTTTAGAGGGCTGGGCTTTTTGTCCCCTGCGATGATGCTCATATGATAAATATCTTAATTTAAAATCAACAGCTTCAGATTTTTCTCATAAACTATTTTAAGATTGGAATATAAGAGCACAACAGTGTGAGAACCTGTTAACGAGCGACTTTTAAACCAGATCTGAAGTTTAATTTCGTTCCCGAGCATAATTCGTTTATATTTATAAGAAATCAAAACAAATTTAGAAATCATAGTTTAAAGTTCTTCCAAACTTTATCCTAAGGTCGTAAATTTTGTATTGTTAATCTCTTGAGAAAGCACTAATCTGTATACTTAGTATAGTCCGACACATGAAGCACTAATCTGTATACTTAGTATAGTCCGACACATGAAGCACTAATCTGTATACTTAGTATAGTCCGACACATGAAGCACTAATCTGTATACTTAGTATAGTCCGACACATGAAGTTAAATCCTCTGAATAACACTGAAGATCAAGTAATCAGAAGCCACAAAATATCTGCTAAAGACCATGTAGAGATTGCAGAAATAGGAGTCAGCTGTTTCTGCACTTAATCGTTGTTGGATATCTGGATTATAATCGTTGCAGATTAGCTCCATCTGATTCAAAAGTTTGGTCCTCTGTTTCCTGGTTTAAGGTTGTTACATAATCTCAGTTTCATTAAATGCTTCCATATGAGTTTCTATTCCCGAATCCCCGCTGTTCTAAAATAACAAGAGAATAAATAAAAAACAAAGAGTAAGGATATTTAAAGGGACTGTAAAGGATATTTAAAGGGACTGTTAAAGATATATGAAAGGTGGTATAGGCTGAAACCTGGGAACTTCAGGCGTTGATCGAGACCAATAAGAGTTCCATCTGATGTTCCTGTCTCGAGAAATTGATATAAAACTGTTTAAAAATTTACCAAAACTTATATATATAAGATTTGGTATAAGATTTTAAGCATTAAACAGATCATATTCAGCAAATACGCAACCAATCGGAAAACGACGATATCCCACTGAGCCTGAAAAACTCAGGTTTACTCCTATAATTATTTGAATTTAATATTTTTTTTATTTTTTATATATATAAATGATAATATAATTGATATGTCTTTATCACGTGACCAGAACTCCCACCAATAACAGTGCAGTTTCATTGTCAAGTGTCTCCCTCTGTATTATTTTGTATCATTTTTCCTTTACAGTCCCTTTAAATAAAGGGACTATTGATCCAATTTTAAATCATCCTCCATATAAAAAATACAAACCCAAATGTACCCTTTTGTTGTCTGAGAAAATTAATAAAGTTGTCTTTTTTTTCTAACTGAATTTGTTGAAGCCTCAGTACCATGAAATATTTTTTAAATAATGATTTAATCATGTAGATATTCTTGTTTGAATGATCCGCTTTATTGAAGCTTTCCCAGTTAAGAAAGAATCTGGCAAGAAAACGACAATAATTGCGTTATCTGAGGGTTTGTATAGTAATTTTGTGAATCGTTGTGGACATTTTTAAATAATAGAGTTACTTAACGTGACGTTGGAAATTCAGAAATTAACTTTTTTATACATAAAAATATTTTCAAAACAAAATAAGAAAGAAATATGATTTTTCTTTCCGTTGCCCTGTTGGATAGTCGTCTTCGTATATATACCAATACAATGAAGACGACTTTGTTTCTTAGTTTTGATTTCTAGGAATCTTTTAAACACTGGAAACTGAAAGACTTAAAACAAGGAGAAAATGTCAATTGACAGCTTCTCTTTGTTTCCTTGTTTGTTTGCTTGTCAGGAATCAAAGAATTAAGTCGTCTTCATTGTATTGATATAATTGCCGACCCCTGTACCGAAATATTCTTACAACTATTTTTGTAAAAAAAGTTTAACCGACCTGTAAATTATGTCTACTCGTAGAACTTCTCATTCTAATTTATTTTCATAAAAATAATAAAATTATGAAAATTTTAAACAATTTTTGATTAATCATGTTCTAACTTAAAATTCGAATGTTCAGGAATGTATTTTGTAAAAACAGTTTATCGAAAAACTTGAAAACAAAAAGCAAAATTTTTTTTGATAATAATTTCCTTGCACTCGTAGAACGGGCACTTTTCACTCTATCCTGCATCAACTGTAAAATGTAAAAAAGGTAAAATAAAAAACAAAATGAAATATCAAGTTAAAAGATAATAAATAGATAAAGGAATAAAGTAACAAGATTATAAATCAATAAAATAATAAAATTTTATATTAACAAATTGATAAATCATTAAACCACTAGCTTGGGAACCCAGCGTTGCCCAGGGTACTTATCAGTTACTCCCGCCATGGCATTTACCAGAGCTTGGTCGATAATACCGGGAAACTAATTTTTGCTATAAAAGTCGACCCACTTAACGTAAAATCTCAAAACCAAACTAAGAACATTCCCGTGCACCCCGGACTAACCAGACTTAGAGGGATTCGGTTTCTTCTGTTTGAAATCATACGCTTTTTGGTTTTATATTTGAGCAATCTTTTAACTTACGGATTTGTTTGTTTTATACTTTTCATTCAAAGAGAATATGACGGCAAAAATGTATTTAAGAAAAAAGACTGAAAAATTATGTTTAATGTGTCAAATTGTGATCGAAAGTCACAGCTTTCTAGAATATTGACAGAACCGTTAAATCCACGTGCGTGGTTCTCCCTAGTTCCTATATCAAAATTTGAGGTAGATTGGTCAAGGGGTTCCTGAGTTATGACAAACAGAGGTTGCAACTTTATAAATCGAGATAAAATGTCAAAATATTGTTAATTTTTAAATTTGTAGTAAATATAGGTTATAGCTTATAATTAGTATTAGTTGTATCTCTAAACTTTGCTATAATATTTAATATATAGATATATCAATTATAAATATTTATATTTATAATTAATATTTAATATGGAGATATATAAATTATAAATATTAATATTTAGCGACATTTCTTAATTCTATTCAAACGAATTAGCGAAGGCGATAATTTTCTCTTTATCTGTCTATGTCTCATTTATCAAAATATATATGCAGGTAGTGAGGGTAGTGAGGTAAGGTAACAATAAGAACCAGAAAATTCTGTGGAATAGGAAGACGACTTTCAGACTCCAGTCATGATTCTAAATAGTCCAACTCAGACATTTGCAGTGTAAAGAGACCTATTTAACTTACATAATAACTGATTTAATAAGTTACTGGTAAAACAAATAGCTTTTAAAAACATCAAATACACTTGAGTATTGAGCATTCATATTCCACAGTTTTCTGGTTATCACTGTATATTTAAATAAACTATATATATAATAGTGAGAAAATAAAGGTTACTCTACCGCAGATCGTCTTTTCTCCGCTTCTGCTTGTTTTATATTTATCATCTCCTGGCTTATCTCAACCTTAAACAAACAAAAAATAACAAGTTTGCAAATTGTTATACTTGTACTTAATATAGAGACCAGTAATGGCTGGCAACTCCTGCTTTAAAACATGTGTATCGTGTATTTTAACTCATGTTACTGTTATAACCAAAGACTTAATAGTAAATGTAAAGACTGTACAAAGCATAAGCTTCTATACGCCAAAAAATTTGTCTTAATTGGTCATAATTTTTTTTTTTTTTTCTCCCATTAAATTATAAAGTTCTTAGGAACGTTTTTACATCCCATCAAGAACTTGCTCTTGAAAGAAAGTTCTTGGTAGAAATGCATACAATTTAATCTTATATATTCGAATACAATTTAATCTTATATATTCGAATACAATTTAATCTTATATATTCGAATACAATTTAATCTTATATATTCGAATAAATTCCTTATGCAGTATCCTCTACTACAGTGATAACCAGAAAACTCTGGAATAGTAAGAAGACTTTTAGAATCAAGTTTTAACTTTTAAAAGTTCAATGACGACGAAACACAGCAATTGTGCAGTGTAAAAAGACCCATTTCACAAAATAAGTGATTTTATAAGTGTCTTCTTTGTAACACCATCAAATAAACTAAGTATTGCTATAATGTCGTCTTCCTATTCAATTTTTATCTGGTTATCACTGTATTAAGAACAAAAACTTTCAAAATTTTAGGACCATCTCTGATTAATACTATTTTTGGTCTTTTAACTAATCTATATATATATGTATACATATATACTTTGCTTGTCTGTCTGTCTGTCAAAATGGCTGAACCGATCGGGCCCAAATTATGTGTGGTACCTCATTTGTCCTCAGGGAAGGTTTTTATTATATTTTGAAAATCCACGAACTTTTTTGTTTTTGTTCGACAATATTTTAAAAAAATGTTCCCAATTACAATAGAAGATGGGCGCGAAGCCTATACAACTCCAATTTCTAAAGCCAATTTGTTAAAGTATAACTGTCACAAAACAAAACTTCTACTATTAATTGATTATTTTTTGATTTAATTTCCTAAATCTAAGAAGACAGTGTCATAATCTGATTTTCTTCTAATTTCCTAAATCTAAAAGGTGGATGTCGTAACCTGGTTTTCTTCTAATTTCCTAAATCTAAGAGGTGGATGTCCTTACCTGATTTTCTTCTAATTTCCTAAATCTAAGAGGTAGATGTCCTAACCTGATTTCCTTCTAATTTCCTAAATCTAAGAGGTGAATGTCCTAACCTGATTTTCTTCTAATTTCCTAAATCTAAGAGGTGGATGTCGTCTTATTAAACTGTTTCCTCCTCCCTCTTCCTCTAAATCCTGTGAAACCTGAAAAAAGCACGTCAAATATATTTTACAGTGGTCCCCTGCAGATCATAATTTCAAGCGTTGCATTTCCAATTTACAACACCACCCTTTAAACCTTAATCTGATTGATCATAATGAAGATTATTAATTTTGTAGTTCTTCAAATTTAAACAGAGTTAAATTCCGTCAATTGTCTTCCTTTCCTCTTATCCCTAGATTTATTTATATAAATTAAGAAACCTGAATGAAAAATTAACAAATTTTATATAAAAGACAAGAATTTCTCCATCATTAAGACAAAGGGGTTTCAAGATACCAGTGTGAATCGGTCAATATAATTCTTAAACCTACGTCACTAAGTTAAAGCATATTTCATGTTATTATAAGATTTATTATCATCAAAATAAATATCGCAGAACAAAGCATTTTACCAATTTTTAAAAAATTTAATACAAATTTATTGCATTATAAAAACTGTTTCATTGCAGTATGAAATACTCGAAAAAAAGCTGATAAAAATATTTCTTTTTTCAGTTTCCAAAAACAATATTAAGAAAATTAAATTATTTTGTAGTTCATTCAAAAGACAGTTTGGTATTTTTGTTATTTTACAGGCTTAAACTAAATTTGATGCATCAATAACAATAGTTTTGATGAGTTTATTTTACTTAGTACACAGAATTTACCCTTGATATTTGATATTTTTAGTCCGCGGGTAATTCCAGATATTTATTGATAGTTCAATAATAATAATTAATTCAATTATGGTTACACTCCCTTTAACCACATACTCACAATTCTCAGGGGAAATCCCCCCCACAACTTAAATTTTCCCCCAAGGGATAATAAAAATATTATTTGCTATTTTAGTTTTCTGAAAGTAGGTCAAAGCAACTAAATTTATGCATGCTTTAGCACGAAGTTTTAATTAAAAACAATAAATAATTCAAGAGTTAACTCACAAAGATTGAAAAACATACAGAATGTACTTTGTTGGCAATGTACAATGTATTATTTTAATTTAAACTCCATGTAATAATATTCAAAATATCATTTTTAAAACTTAATTTAATTAAAAAAGTATCTGTCATAGTTGCATTAAATTCCAAAAATCGATTTTTGTTGATGTTTATTTTCAAACATTTTAATGACAACTTGTGATGGTTTAATTTTCGTTCTAAAAATTAAGCAAGATTATCCAATCCATTAAATTTATTGAAAAGATAAATTATCTAAAACTTAAACTGCAGCTGCAAGGATGAGACTCTAGTCTCGGCTCTACGGGAATTTATGAAGTATTTTTTTGTCACATTTATCAAACTGTAGTAAAGGAACTGAACGTTTACGAATTCTAATTCTAAATTCCTTATATATTTGCAACCTGATGTTTTTAACCTTTCAATTTTCAAATAGTTTGAAATATTAAAGGTCTACGACATCAAGTTGAAAAGAAATAGTGATTAGAAAATTAGAAGATGTGGCGAGTGTGTTCCTTTGTGTGTTTCAAGTTGTCAAATCTTCAGATAAACCATGTGGAAGTGTGTTGAACAGAAACCAAAATTTAAAACCAAAGAGTTTCAGTTCGTTGTGTGCAATGGGTATCCTTGGTAAATGATAAATCCTACCTCAAACGCTAATGGTTCTTTTGCTGACAAATTGAGACTAGAAGACGACCTCCCTGAGTCTGGATCCTCCTGGTGTATTTAATACTTAATCATCTTTATATATGTACATAATGTGCATCCTAACATACGTTGTACAGTATGTACACTGTAAAGAAGCGTAAATTTTAGAGAGTATCGTTGTATCATCAAACTCTTAAGTTTCCTTTTTTGGGGTGTAGACATTTAAGTAGATATTAATTAAAGAATTAAAAAATGAAAAGCCTAATCATATGAAATGATAATTCGAACTAAAAAAATTGATATCTACAAAATTGCTATAATTAATTTTCAAAACCCGGGTACCGATACTTCATGACGAAACTGTGTATATCTATCTCTCTATCCATCAAAAACTATTTCTATGAGTTCTTTAAACAGATTTAATTTGAGTATTTTCCTTGATTTCTGGACTCACCATCCCCGGTAGTCCTGCTTCAAGGTCCTCAACTTCTTCTACAATTCATTAATTCATTAATTCATTAATTCATTAATTCATTAATTCATTAATTTATATTAAAGGGAGTGTATGCGTAATTACAATTGACCCTCCATGAAAAGATGGCAATTCACGGTTCAAAAGTTATATCGTTAACCTTGAAAAATGAAACCTATATCTGATCTAAAATGTGGAAGATATTGTCGTTTTTATAAATTTAAAGTGTTTGATAATGATAACTAATATAATTATGTTTTCCTACACTGTAGAAATACCATAGATAAAGATAGATTGCGCATAAGACGACATTTTTCATCTTGAAAGATATAAATGTACAGAGATGTTTTAAAGATATTCCTATTATATAGATTAACTGGGTCGGTTGTGAACATTGGCTGTTCTTATGTCATTGAGTACTTGTGGTGTACATGAGTTCTGTAGAGAGAAATTTAAGTTAGTTTAGTCCTTCTCATGTCCTTCTTCAGTTCTCGTCAATATGATGTATTGCTCAGTGAAATATTGTTATTCAAATAGTTCCATTCCCGGAGTTATTTTACACTCATTATGAAATCCATTAAAACACCAAACCACCCCGCTTATCATTGAAGTACACTTTGACCTCTAGAAGTATGAGTTCTCGGACTGTACAATTCTTGGTGATTTTGTGTACATAAGCTAGCTATGTTTATTTATTTATCTATGAGAAATACGAAAGTCACTGTAGTCAAGAAACCACAATTAAAAGTATTTTAGAATAGGTGAACAATATGTTTAAAGTGACTGATAAATTTTTTATTAAAGATAAATTACAATTGCACAATTTTTAATTTTAATTTTGCCAGGACCTTTTTAACCATTGTTGGTTGTTTTGACTGGGAGGCCCTTTTGCTGTAAGCGTAAATTCAGGTGCAATGAAAAGATATCAATGCCCGACTTACAACGGTACCCTTGAAACCTTTGTCTGATCAAGTATGAATTAGTTATCAATGTTTCTGTTTCTTTGAACTGTTTATTTTTATTTGGGGTTTCTATCTTCCACATTTTTGATCATTAAGGTTTCAAGGGTGCCGCTGTACATTGGGCATTGCCCTCAATAGAAATAACGCTCACAGTCCTTTAATTTCCACGTGTATTTTGAATCTATCCTAACCTGTTATAAGATTGTTTACAGCTTCTACTGTATTTGTTTGAAGATCTCCTGTACTGCTGAGATCCAGTACATTATCCTTTGACGGAGCACACCCCATCATCCACACCTCAGCTCAAAATGTTAAAAATCAGCTGATTTTGTTTGCAGATTTGTTTTCATTCGCGGATCTGTTCCTATAGATTTTAAGAACCGGTTCTTGGCAAAATCGTTTTTTTTCTTCAAATTACTGACTTTGTCCTGCACACGCTTAGGCAGCGGATAGCGTAGGCAGATACGGGTTTTATGAATAAGTAATATTCTTGATTACTTTATTTCTTTGTTTCTTGATTATCTAGGATGGAAGTTTCAAAAAGTTTGGTTCTTGATTGACTTTATCATCTATTTAAAGTTCACAGATTAAAGGTTAAACTCGTATCACGGTAGGTTGCAGGCTAAGGTCAAAATTGGTGTTGAGGGCTTAGAAATTTGACTCTTTCAAGACTTTTTATTCACAGTCAAATCCTTAAAAACTTAAAGTTCTTTCTCGTGCATTATTAATCTGAAAAAAATAATTATCTTTCAATTGTTACCTTGAAACATAAGAATATCATGACATATTTAAATATGTTTAACTCAATCTGAAACAATAAAAATTCAGCCAATTAGGTTTTATAATAATATTTAAAAAAAATTCGTGGATTTTGGAAATAAAGTTATCTATATCTTAAAACATTGAACCTTTTAGATATCATTTATTCATTTAATTAGATTTTAATACATTTTTATGAGATTTTAATAAGTTAAAGTTTTATAACATTCGGTCAAACTTTCATGATATTCTATTAGAGTTTTGCTTCTGTCAACGTTTCATAAGATTAAATAATGTTTCATAAGATTGAATTTAAATGTTATGAGATCCTATACCAATTTAGATAGTACTTGAAATTATTATTGAACATTTTTAATAAACAACATAACTTTGAACATAGACTTGATGTGAAACTACCATTTGTTTAAATTCAATTTCATAAAAGAGACAATACTTGATTAATGAACTTAATTTTGTATTAACCATTCAACGCTTGCATTCACGGCTTTTTATACTAAAGGGAATCAGCGCGAAAAGTGAAATAGAAGAAACTAAAATCGTTAATATTTTGTGCAAATTATCTTCAAGCAGAAAAACCGATTAAAAGTGTAAATTGTAATATTCGATTTAAAATCTAAAAATATTAAATCATGTATGTTCTTTAATTTTAGAGACTGAATTTCCTTGACATCGTAAATATTTGAAGCTTACTTTCCCTTTAATTATTCAATGCACCCTAAAAATAGTTTTCTAGCGTTCCTTGTTTTATGTGTCTGTTTGTTCTTTGTTTAAAAATGTTTAATACAAAAGTCACATTTAGAATTCACCAAATACCAAACACCATAAGTTTGAAGGTCGAATCAAATTGTAAAGTTGAAAATAATTTCTTTTTTTAAAATTCCGAAGTTTGTTTATATCAGAGCCCATTTTGGTCCAATTTACATTTTTTTTGGAACATTTACACTAATTATGTTGAAAGTTCATTTCAAATTACCTTTGTTTAAATATAAAAAAAGAAATATAACTGTAATTAATTTTATTGTACCAATACTAATTAAATGATGAACTTTTAAATTTAATTTTTCTTTGAAATGGGACCCTGATTGATACACATTTATTTGAAAGAATAATACAAGGTCTGAAATTTCATGCATTAAAAGTATACTTTTAGTTTTATTGGTGGATTTAATGGTTTCGTTCATGAAGTGACTACATGTGCTACATTTTGATAAAAGATCTTGGACTTTTACAAACGATTGACTTTACTTATTTCAGACTAAGGCCTTCTGATAAAAGGTTAAAAAATACTTGTTTAGAATTTTATTCTAAAATATGATTAACTTCGAAGATGTTTTTTAATGTGGAGCCCCGTGAAAGCTTTAAATGTTTGAAAACGAATTAACTCTACGTATAATAATCACTAATCCCACTCTTAGAATCCAACTTTTGTTTACATAAAATCTGTCCCGGATTTCATTTAATTACATTTTTCAAACAATCTTTTTCAAGGATTTATGAGTAACTAAGTAACTAACCGTTGAAGAATCAATTGAACTCACAAATTCGCTACAGGCTGTCTAAAAACTTTCTACTTGTAAAAAAATCAATAATCTGAGTTAAAAAATGTTCCAAATGAATATGTTTATTCTTGACATACAAATCAAAGTGAATAGATGTTGGGTGTTGGAGCTGGGAACTGATTTGTAAATAAACAACCGGAAATTAACAAGCCCGATATTTTCTATCCTGACCCTAAAAACTTTTTTTTCTGCAAAACTATCCTCCCAACCCGACCTTTAGTACAGTGAGACCTATAAAACTATGGACTAGGAAGACGACTTGTGAACTCAAGTTATTTAAAAAATCCAACAAACATAAAAAACCAGCATGCGAATTCTACTCCAACACATTTCACTTTTAAAGCTGATTTTTAAGCTACTGGTTTTATAACTATTTGCTTTAAAGCAACATTAATTACACACATGATTGATTAATTATCCTCCTTTTCCACACTTTCCTGGAACCCACTGTATTTGGACATTCAACAATATATTTGGACACCCTGTACTAGGCAAGTAGACATGCAATAATGGCTTTCCAATCAAACATTCTAGAAATGTCAGCCAATCGATAAATGGAAACCAAATCTGGAATTTACTGGCGCCGATCAAAATATTTAATGAATCATGGAAATCTCCAATTTATTCAACATATTTAGATTTTTGGACGTATATCTTAAAATACGTAGCTAAAGTTGAACCAATTCTTCTTAGTTTGAACCGGCCCACAGCAGAACTGATTGAACTGGTGGTACGTGGTTCAACTAATTCTCGCTGTTCATTAGATCTGGTCTAACGTAGATCTTTGGATTAGATCTTTTGGTTCATAACTTTGAATTTTCAAAACACTCTCGGAGGAATATAATTAACATATATTTACTTGTGATTAATTTGTTATCTTGTTTGTCTCAAGGTTTTTGAATCACCTTGATTGATCCCACCGGTAACTAGACATCAGGAGATGGTCAAATGTATGCGACATTACTGGTACAACTTTTAACCTCGTAGCTCCTCTAGCTTTGATTTTACACACACGCATGAGAAAAACAAATTTATCCGGCTTCATAAAAGAAATTCAAAACGTTTTTTTTCTCAATAGCTCCTTAATAGAAACACTAATTATTGAAAGCATGCAAGATTTCAATCTTCAGTTTGACGTGATTTAATGCACCATGCATGTTAAATGTTAGTTTCTAAAGCAAAGTTAATTATTTTCTATTTTCCAGAAATAGATTGAGGCAATTAATGCGAATGCAGCAGTCTGCATTAAGGTATATATATTTAATTATGTTTCAACTTTTGTTAAAAAAGCAACAACTCAAGTATTTAAATCCCTATATCTGAGCAAACTGATGGGATACACCTTTGATATTTTTAACTTTGATCCAACATTGTTTATTGTTGTAACTATCAAAGGTCTGCGACATCAGGTATCAAAGATATAGCGGTTAGAAAATCAGAGTTTGCGGCAATAACTCAGTTTCTTCGGACTAAATGAACTTTTTGAGCATCTATGTAGAACCAATATCTTTTTCACAACCAATAAAGCCTATTTTATTTTTTCAACATTACAAACAAATCTATAATTTAATGTTTTTAAGTTAAACCATTGTAAAAAATGAAGATACGTAAGAAAAAATAGGAGATGTAGTAAGGTTGCAAAGCATTGATGCATTTACGAATTTTTCTTGTAATGGATTTAAACCTATTATTTACTAAGGTATGTGATATGTCTGCTATACTAACTAGTTTTATTGTAATGAATTTAAACCTATTATTTACTATGGTATGTGTTATGTCTGCTATACTAACTAGTTTTCTTGTAATGGATTTAAACCTATTATTTACTAAGGTATATGTTATGTCTGCTATACTAACTAGTTTTCTTGTAATGGATTTAAACCTATTATTTACTAAGGTATATGTTATGTCTGCTATACTAACTAGTTTTCTTGTAATGGATTTAAACCTATTATTTACTAAGGTATGTGTTATGTCTGCTATACTAACTGGTTGAAACTAAAAGGAAAGCTATTATTTACTAAGGTATGTGTTATGTCTGCTATACTAACTGGTTGAAACTAAAAGGAAAGCTAAATACACATATTTACCTTAATATTTCCCGCGGCCTTTACCCCCCCCCCCCTCCAGTCTTTCTCTACACACTCCTAATATTTCCTCCCTACACACTCCTAATAATTAAATAACTAAAGATAGGTTTTGCAAATTATTGAGATTCAGGCAGCTGGAAGACCGATAAAATATGGTTTCACAAAAATTTTACTTTTTTCAAATTCAAGCCTGTAACGTTTGTCTGAGCTACTGTTAGGAACATTTTTCTGGTATTCATTTAATTCTGACTATAAGTGCAGAAAAACCTATAATTAAAATAATAGATTTTTAACTAGAAAATAAAGAAATCGCATTCATTCTTGATCAGAAAAAGGTTTAAAGGTTAACGTTGTGAATCGCCAGTCTACAAATGGAGGGCGGAGGGTCTACAGCCCCTTTCAGAGCATACAATGTTGTAACATATTGTACACATTTTAAACATTATTCCCAAGTTTCAACACTTTTTGTAAAAAGTCTTTAGAAAAAAAGACAAATAAAATTGTAGAATACGTATACGGTTACACCGTTTACATATTTACCTTTCAGCTTTATGTTGATTTTATGATTCATTAAACTTCATAAACTTATTTTGAAGAAGTCATTTTCACAAAATCTCAATTTTACAATTGTTGATTAGAAATTTTTAAAAACGTTGCGACCTGGGCATATAATTAAACAATTATAATTTTATTACTTGTCTTTGCAGATACGATTGCTGGAAACATAAATTCCAGTAACGCAATTATATGTGAATTAGCATAGTAAACAATCACATTTACATATGATTTATCTAATTTTTCAGTTTTTTTTGACCTTATGTACATTTACCGTTTGTCTCAATGTATGTTTTTAAGAAGTAGTAAACAAAGATAAAAAAAAAAATTTAATCAAAAAGGTTAGAATTTTACAATACGCTTTGAAAACAAAATCTAATCTCTCTAAAGTTTAATGAAACGATATTCACACATATAAATTTTATTACACAAAATAATACAAGTAAATGCCAACTGGTTTACACACATGTTTGAATGTTTGTTTTGTGTGTCACCAGCAAACGTACTGCACAGTCTCCCCCTGAACAAAGTAGAAGGGATACAGTGGCTAAACTTGTACAGTACGTAAGGAAAGATTGAGTCTTCTGAACAGTGTACAAGTTCAAACAGGTTTTGGGGGACACACAGCCTTTGTTTACATATTGAGAGAGGTTTAATGAGCAGTGGCGTAGGCGACCTGAGCGTGGGCAACAGGGGCGACTTGAGCGTACTGAGCATGGGCAATTGGGGCAACAGCATAGGCAGCCTGGGCAACAGGGGCAGCATGAGCATAAGTGGCGACAGGGGCGGCGACCTGAGCATATCCGGTCTGGGTGTAGGTGGCATGATGGATATGGGGCTGCTCAACAATCTCCTGGACGGGGTGAACCTTGTAGGGAGCAGGGACAGCAACAGGCCTGGGGACCTCAACGGTGTAGGGCTTGGCAACATGCTTGGTGACAAGGACCTCTCTCTCAACGGGAACAGGGACATTGACGGGGACATCAACGTTGTACTTGTTGACCTGGAGTTGAGGAACAATGTTGGTCTGGACGGGGGTGATTCTGGTGTGGGTCCTAAGAGGAGCAAGGATCTTCTGCTGGACAACAGTATCAAGTGGGGCAGGTCCAGCTGGGACGGGTGCGGGAGGGATAGCGGCGGCATAAGGAGCAACGTTGGGGATAACAGGAGCGGGAAGAGCTCTGGTCTCAACAAGGTTCTGGGGAGCTCCAGCAGCGTAGGTGGAGGCAGGTTGGGGGATAATTTCTTGTCCGGCCTGGACATATTGGTGTCCTGCCTGAACGGACTGGGTTCCAACCTGGACGGTCTGATGTCCTACAACTCCATACTCAACATGGTTCTGCACAACAGCAGGTCCGGCAGCATAGGTGTGCTGGGTTTGTCCGATAGCAACAGGGGCATGGATGGCTCCATAGGCTCCAGCATGGACAGCTCCATAGTTGCTGGGAGCGCCATAGGCACAGGCAATAAAGGAAAGTGCGACCTGAAAAAAGTAAATCTTTAATTAAAATGTTAAAATGTGGATGGTAAAATCTTGTCATTGNGTTTTCATTATTAATAATATTAATAATATTAATCTAGTTGGGTTCACATTTATCAGATTTAACCTTTTGATTCTTTGATTAACAAATAGTTAAATTAAAAAGTACTCAGTAGAAAGCAAAGAATTCTGTGAAAACGGTTTGGACAATGAAGGCTTACTGTCTCTTAAATATATCTGAATAACTTTAACTGTTTATACCTTTCTCCCCATTACGCCTCATACATATACGTTTTTTAGAGGTATAGTCAGGGGGGGCTACAGGGGCTAAGTTCCCCCTTGGACCAGTGAAATCTATTTATTTCAGGGGGCTTTCAGTGCTGAGCCCCCCTGGAAAAAAATTTAAGCCCCCCCCCCCGGACGAATTCATGACTACATCCCTGCGTGTTTTCTAATTATTGATGATATAAGTGTTAAGCTTACCACAAATCTGTTCATTTTACTGGTACTCTGTTCAGAAGATACTGGTTGTAGTTCTAGGTTGCAATCCTTATATACTAGAGGTGGGGTGTCTTCAAACCGGTCTATTATACTGTCTATGGTCTTCTCTTTATACTCTGTGCAATTAACACTGTCGTCTAACCTTTCTAAAATACGAGGTTTCGTGATAATATTTACATGTTTATATCTGATATATTTTTTTTATTAATACATTTTATTCCTTTCATTAATTTCATTATTTGTATTAGTATCTTAAATTCACCCGCCTGCTATTTTTTTTATATATACCCGCATTTCAATAACTCCTGAAACATTATAATTAAACCATCTATGTTTCAGAATCGAAATAAATTGTTTTGCAACTATCGCCTTTCATCAGAAGAGAGAGCGAGACTAGTCACCTTTGTTAAACTCTAGCAATGGCTAATCAAGAGCATACGTCAACTCAGGTTCAATGAATAATGTCATTATGTCTAAGTTAACAACATTAAATCATTAATAATGTACAACATATTGCAGGTTAACAAAATATTATGTTTTCACGATTTTTGCTACAGACATACGTAGAAGGTCAAATAATGCCACTGGCGCTATTTTCTCATTAATGCAGATTACGTATGATAAGAAAATAGCGACTTGAAAAATCAACGATTCTGCAAGTAAAGTGAAAAGTAATTGATTGATTTTATTAGTTTAGAAATGTTCAATTTTAGAATTAATCATATATATTACTAACTTAATGTTGTTATTATGAGTTTATGGCAGGCTTCTCAGACTGTAATAGAAAAATTAGCTAGGTTTTAATTATTTATTTTAGAACAAAATAGTTATCTAAATTCAAAATTGCGCAATAGGGAAAGACCTTTTTGTACTAGATACTTGTTTATCTACAGGGTGTCCCAAAAAACATGGGAATTCAGTAAGGAATTCGAAATCGTCTTTGTTAAGAATCAGTATTTTAATTCCTGATTTTAAAAGCCTTAATCTAATCATGTCTGCTAGAGTTCATTTTATGAAAACATTAATGACAGCAATAATGAGTCTGTAATCTTTAACCAAGATGAACAATGCAGATACTGTAGAGATGTCAACGTTTTGATTTTTCTAGATTTTAGCTTTCGTTACATTAGTGTTCATCAAAAGTATTAACGTTTGAAACGTTACGTTGCACATTATGAAATTTTATGGCATAGAGTAACGTTACGTAATGAATTTTCTGCACTTGAAAATCTTATACAACGTTAAGCTTTGGTAAATGTTAGTGAAAAAACAGTAAGCTCCGTTACGCTTTTGCATTTCCCGTTTTAAAAAACTTTCCCAACGTTGCGTTAAAGCTTATGTAATATAACCACATTTTTTTAACGTTCCACTTTCATGCAAGGTAAATATTTTCAGAGACCTTACGTTACACTTTCACTTGGTTTAAGATCTAAAAGATGACAAACGATTTGCTTTACTAAAACGTCATTTGAACAGTAGTTCTAAATTATTTTAGGTTAGTTTAGGGTTTTTTTTTTCTTATTTTACGCAATGCAGACTGACCCTTTTCTTCTATTTAACAGAATTCATAGTTTAAAATATCTAAGGTCTACAACATTGGGTAGCAAAGATACAGGGATTAGAAATATTAGTTTGTGAACAACTCAATTCCTTTAGACATTCTTATCTAACAGAAGTCATAGCTTGAAATATCAAAAGTCTACAACACCAGCTTGCAAAGATGTAGAGATTAGAAAATTATAATTTGTGGCGAATTTTTTGTTTTTTTGTGTGTTTTTTTATGTTACTTACAAAGTGATTAAAAAAGCGGCATTAGCTTTAGTTTACAAACCACAAGGGAAATGTTTTCAGAGTTCATGTTTGGGGTTAAAAAATATCAAATATAGTAAGACAAGTGCTAAATTTTTTTTTAACACAAACAACGCGAAATAAAATTATTTAACTTTTTTTCTTTTTAAAAAGAAATCGATTAAAAAATTATTTTTTTTCTATTCTAAAGTTTCATAAAAATCTACTGATGAATGAAACATGACACGCATTTTCCATTTGATAAAATATTGTTGCATTTTAGTAAGTATCTACATTTCTAAATTTTTCAACCTAAAAAATGAACCACGTCAACTGAAGTTATGATTTTAAATGGTCAAATAAACATGAAACCCAGCAATTGTGTTTGTTCCACTTAATAATTTGATTTTTTTGCAATTAAATCATTTGCTTTATTACAGAAAATGCATATGTAAAATTTCTTAATGTCGTCTTCCTTTTCCAGAGTATTAGTGGGTTTCATCAAACAATGGCAAATAAACCTTTAATGTCCAAGAAACATTTATAAGATTTAAATTTTTTTTTCAAATTTACTAATCCCTATATCTTTCCAACCCGATGGTTTAAACCTTGTATATTTCAATATTAATGGTCTACGACATCGGGTTGCAAAGATATATTACATGAAAATTAGAGTTTTTGGCATAAACTCATTTTCTTTAAACTTGAAATGAAAAACCATTAGTCTTTGCTCTTATAATCATTAGAATTATTGTTACACTTTTGAAATTAAAATGCAGCCCTCATAGTCTAACGTTTCATGAACAACATTTTCATCAGACATATATCTAACGTTAGACTAATCAATTTAGTATTCAGAGAAAAGTTATGAAACGTTTTGATTTACAGAATTACATTTTTTTTAATGTTATACGTTACATTATTGAAATTTTACTCTGTGAAAAAACTTTCGTTTCCTGATTATCAAAATAATAACCCATTTCTGCAACGTTGAATTTTTCATTATACTATAAGGGAAAACGTTTCAAAACGTTATCATAAACAGTAATGCATTTTTTCAGTTATACAACGTTACACTTTTTATAAGTTGAACTTTGAAATAGAAATCCTTTCGTTACGATATTCAATAAATCACAATTAATTTTTCAAACGTTAGACTTTCAAGCTCCCCTTGGAAACAAAACATTTCTTTACGTTATGGTCAAAAAAGTTGTAGATATTAGAAAAAGAATGTTACATTTCCACAAAACGCTAACGTTGGGGATATGTTCCTCTAACGTTAACGGTTAACGTTAGGTATGAGCTCCTATAACGTTAACGTTTAACGTTCACGTTATATAGAATATATACAAACGTTACACATTATCGTAACGTAACGTACAAAAACGTTCATTTTACGTTACGTTACACTATCGTTGACATCTCTAGCAGATAGACATGTTTACTCTTGTTTTACTTAGGACCGTATGCCGTCAAAACATTAACAAACAAATTGTAAACATAGCAGACCAAAATTACAGCTTTCTCAGAAGGTATCAATATACCAAATCAGTGAATTATTTAAAAATACGATATCGAATTCGTCACTGGATTCTCATGTTTATTGGAACACCCTGTAGACAAACAAGTATTTAATTTATACGTTGACAGGAGGCCATATAATGGAAATGAAAGTAAATTTTTATAAATGTATTTTTTATCAAATAACAATTTGCTAGACAGAATTTATGAAAAGAAAAACAGGGTTGTCTGTATTATCTTCTTCGCAAACTTTGGAAAGAAAATAAAAAATGTTAAATATCATTAAAATAAGAAGAGGCCCCTGGTGAAGGGGTTGTTATGCAGAAAAGGGTTATTACATAAAATGGAGAAAATCAGATGATTTAGTCTTTAATTTAACTGTAATTAATTGTTGTAATGTGTATAATTAATTTGTAATATATTGTTTATGGCCAAATAAAAGATTTGATTTGAAGATGATCATAGACACCATTGCTTTTCAATGCTGCTCTGCATAAAGAAAACAGGCGCGCAACTAGACATTTGGCAACACGAGGGGAGGGGAGGGGCGGGGGGGTATTTGAAAATCTTGAAAATCGTGTATTATACTCAACCTTGAAAAAACTAACCCTACCAACAGGATATTAAGTTAGTCAATACATCTGATATGTAATGAAAAAGAAATGTATTCTGGATAAAAAGTCAATATATTAATCACAATACGACATGTAGTATTATTAGAACATATACAAATCATTCCAGACACTGACAAGAAATGCCTTTCATTAAAAATCATTTTACTTAAAAATATTTTTTTTTAAAGGGACCGTTCACTTATTTGGGTAATTTCAGGGTAAATTAAACAGCCTATTCGCTGTTGATTGGTAATAGTCTTACTTTTCAAAGACAACTGTGGCCGGAGAAAAAGCCGATTTTTCGTTCAGAATTTGAGCGGAAAGGGACGGTACCTCTCTATAGACACCATCAGGTTGCACAGAGATATGGATTGGAAAAGTTGAGTTTGTGGAAAAGATTTACTTTTTCTCAGGACATTGTCAGAGTTGACCAAGTGTAGTTATGACAAAACGAAAAACGGAAAGACATCATTTTTATTTTACTGAAAAAAGATCGTTTTTGGAAATTTTATCAAATTTCTACTAACAATATTTGGAGTAACATCGACTTTTTACTAAATAACTGAATTTTTGCCACAAACTCAAATTTTATAATCCCTATTTATATATAGTTTAAAATAACAAAGGTCTACAATGTTTGGTTGCAAAAATATAAGGATTATAAAATCTCTTATTATTATCATTATAGATTTATTTCATACACATAGCGGTACTGTAGATAAAGACCTGCAAAACATTTATGAATATATATGTCATAAAAATTAAAAAAACTAGTTATAGCACAAATGGTTAATTATTTGGGACTGTTCATCGCTTTCAAAACCAGAAATTTCAATTTTATTTGATCTAACAGATAGTAATTCCTAAAAAAAGGGAATTTTCCAAAAATGTGTATCAGAAACTTCTGCAAAAGGTAAATTGCTTTTTCCATTCAGTTTTGTTAGATCACTGGGATAACAATTACAATCTTGTTCAATGTTTATTTTGAATAATCTTTTTGTTTGTTTATATTCTTGTGATTTTTACATTTTTTTTATTTTTTTTAATCGATTTTGATGGTTATTATATCGTTAGAACTGACGAGGGTCAACCCAGACCGAAATATATTTTCAATAAATGTGGAACTAACATCTACTTTTTTACTCTACAGAGGTT